TGATTTCCCCAACTCAAAGACGACTGTTGCGAGCAAATTTCTTCAGGACCGTGCTTTTCTCTTGTCGCCACTGAAACAACTCCACAGAGGCTGGTATCCTGTCACCAAGTCACCTTTTATTTACACATGGTAGAGTCCTTGACACTGATCCAGCTCCCTCAGAGCCAGGTCTCAGAGTGAGCAGGATGTCTGACACTCCGGTTCTTGTCTGTCAACCTGGGCTCCCTGATTGGACCAGATTAACAGCCCCAATCAGGGAATTCATATTCTAAGAGGTACTTGGCTGACCTCATTACAATCACTACAATCACTGAACTGAGGAATAATGTGTGCCAGCCATAGCTCAGTGGTATCACACTTGTTTCTAACTCCTATGCTGTGAATTGAAATCCTACCCCAAAGACGTGAATGCATAATCCAGGCTGACAGTACTGAGGAAGTGCTTTGCTGTCAGACATGTCAGATGAGACTTTAAATGTGGCCCCATCTGACCTGTCAGTTAAGTACAAAAGTTCCTGTGACAGTACGGAATTGTTTGAAGAAGATGGAAAGTTCTCTTTGATTCTGTTCAATATTTATCACACAACCGACATGACTAAAACAAATGATGGGCCATCATCACAGTGCTGTCTGTGGAACCTTGCTCGGTACAATTTTGTTGTTACATTTCCCATACTGTGACAGTGATTAAGCTTACTTCATTGCAAATAAAATGTTTTGTGGCATCCTGAGATTGGGAAAGATGCAATAAAATTCCAAACTCTTTCTTTGTAAGAGTTGTTGTATATAAAATAGGAGCCTCAGATGCTCCTATTTTATATACAACAACTTTGTGGCCTTTATCTTGTTGAACATAATTACCATGCCTCCACCTCCACCCCCGAAATGGTGAGAAGTCGTTGATCACCAGGAAATAAGTCAATTTGTTATAACATGAGTGGACTTTGTGTACACAGAGGAGAAACTGGAGACTTGACAGGTCCACCTCAATTCATTCAGTCAGGAAACTCAACGTTTATTGCTGATTAATTAATGGTAGTTTGCTTTCAACACCTTTAATTTCAACACTAATAAGGTTTGTCATACTTTTCAAGATACCACTTTAATTGGCACGATAATGGGGGTCAGAGAGCTAAACATGTTCCACACATGGCAGAGTATAATGAAATATGCATAACGACGGGTATATTTTATGTCATATTTTTGCCTTGGGAAATGTTGAAATTAGTACTCCTAATTTTGAATCTGGCAATTGAATTAGAACGCTTTCTAAAATATTGCATGCTTGTCTATTTTTATACCCTTGAGCGATGAAGCTTCAAGGTATCATAAACCGCATTAAATGCTGGTTTACTAAGTATTTAGTAATGAGAATTTCAGATTTGAATTTTAAATTCTACTCTGCAAAGGATCACAAAAATGTAATGCAAGAAATGCACATTTTTCTTCATCAGAGATATACAGGATTTAACTATTTCCCGAAGACCTGGGGAAGGTGCTATTTTTCTCTATTTCTGAACTATTTTGGACTCATTTACCTGACATAAATTAGACGAACCTCAAACCAAAGCAATCTTAGTTTTATCTTCACAGGCCCTTACTTCCTACTCACTAAAATTCAACGGTGCTTACTTGTTCTAACAGCACCGTGGGTGTACCCACAAGAACTGCAGCAGTTCAAGAAAGCTGCTCATCACCACCTTCTCTGCATGGATAAATGAAACATAATAAGGGTTGGATAAAACATACAAATTAGAAGCAGGAATAGGTCACTCAGCCCCTTGAGTCTGCTCTGCCATTTCCTAGGATCATAGCTGATCTGAATACTCCACAGTCTCACTTACCTAGATAACCTTTCAGTCCCTTGCATATCAAAAATCAATCTCTCTCTGCTTTAAAAATTTTCAAGAACTCTGTGCTGACCACCTTTTCTGGAGAAGAGTTCTGAAGGCTCAACAGCTCGTGAGAAAATTTTTTTCCACTCGGTCTTAAATAGGCGATCCCTTGTTTTGAAACAATGAGCCCTAGTTCCCATTCGCCCAACGAAGGAAGCATCTTCTCTAGATCCGCCCAGTCGCCACCTCTCAGGACCTTCTCTCTTTTAATTAAGTGGTCTGTTACTGTTCTAAACTGCAGCAGATTTAAGGTAAGCCTTTCAAGCTTACCTCATAAAGCAACCTGGCCACAGGTATGAGCGTAGAACTGCTTCCAATATATTTAGACCGTTCCTTAAATAAGGAGACCAATACAATGTGCAATCCTCCAGAAGTGGTCTCAACATTGCCCTGTATAACTGAAGTACAACAATTCTCCTGGCAGGCTAGGTGGATTAGCTATGGTAAATGCAGGGTTAGGGGGATAGGGTGGGGGCATGGTCTTGGTGGGATGTTCTTTGGAGGGTTGGTGCAGACTCAATGGGCTGAATGGCCTTTTTCCATACTGTAGTGAATCTATGACTCTATGAATAAATGATAAGATTCTATTATCTTTCTTACTTCATACTGTACCCATCTTTTGGTGATATATACATTAGGACTCCCAGATCATTCTCCATCTCAGAGTTCTGCAGCCTCACCATTTAGATAATATACTTTTTATTCTTTCTTTTTTAAAATTCATTGATGATGGCATAATTGTTCAGAAGGCAGTTTAAGAATCAACCATATTGCTATAGGTCTAGAGTCACATGTAGACCAGACCAGGTAAGGATAGCCGTTTCCTTCCCTAAAGGACATTAGTAAACCAGACGGGTTTTTCCATCCATTGACAATGGTTCCATGGTCATCATTAGACTCTTAATTCCAGATTATTTGCCATTTGCCAATTCTTGGTCCATTCACTTAATATATATTAGTCCTGCAGAGATGCCAACGGCCCTTAAATGAATTAAAAAATCTACTTAAAGTGCAAAGTCCTAGTTCATTAAAATTAACGAAATTGTACAAATGTCTTAAAGCACCTGGTTTGATCTTTGCTGTTGTCATATTATCTTTGGTCTGTCAAACATTCTGGTTGATCAATGTACAGAATAACTGGTGCCTAGCCGTAACTAAGTAGGATCACGTAAAACACAAAAGGAGATTATTCAGCTCACTGAGTCTATGCCAACTCTATGTGAAGCAATCTGGTCAATCACACTCCCTTAAACTACCAATACAGCTTGCTAATTTATGTCCGTTGTATACCCATTCAATTTCCTTTTGGAATTATTGCTATTTTCTGCTTCCATCTATTACCACATGCTGTGTTAAAAATTCTTCCTCACAGTCCCCCTGCATCTCTTGTTGAAGACCTTAAGTTTGTATCCTCTTTTTGTTGCATTAGCACCATCAACTAATGGGAACAGTTTTTTTTACTTGTCTACTTTAACTGAGCTTGTCGATCTTGTCTACTTGTAGCAAATCTCCCCTTGATGCCATTTGCTCCAAAGAGAACACCCACAGTTAATCAAACTGAAACTTTTATCTAAGATCCCCCATCTCCAGGTCTCTCCTGGTAAATCTCCCATGTACCTTCTCAAGGTCTCTCCCTCCCTAAAGCACGGTGACCAGAACTTAATGCAATACTCTACACAGCTTTATAGAGATTTTGCATAACTTTCCTGCATATTCAAACTCTATTTTTGAAGCCTGAGATCCCATATACATTGCTAATCACAAACTCAATATGCCCTACCGCCTTTAAACATTGATGTCCTGCCACTCCCAGGTCCCCCAGTTCCTACACTCTTTTGAACTTTGCCATGAATTTTTTTGGTTCTCATCACCTTTGCTGACAAAATACATCAGCTTGTACACCTCTGTATTAAATTACATCTTGCCACTTGTCTAACTATTCTGCCAATCTTTCTATGTTCTGTTGTAGTTGTTTGGTACTGTTTGCCACTCCTCCAACTTTGGTATCATCAACAAGTGGCAGGAATTATAAACTATGAATGGAAACATCCCACGGTGTGTAGTCAGCTCGAGGTCTGGGAAACAGTGTTCCTCTTGCTACATAACTCAAAGATACTACAAAACAAATTTCACTTTTTGATTGCGTTTAGTACAAAACATCTTATATCCATATGTATAAATAAAGGTAAACCACTGAACAATAATTCATAAATAAATTCAGAGAATTTAACAAATTATTACTAATGCTACATTTAAAATTAACTCTGGCTTAAACCACGTAGCTTCAGGGCAACAGAGGTTACTATGATTAAACAGAGATATAAAGATGTTTTGAGTTAGAAAATTTTAAAAAAATATTCAAAGTATTGATTGGTTGGAAGATTTGATGTTGTTAATCAAAGAAAGCAAAAACAAGTAAAAGATGTTCTTAAAAACTATGAAAAGCTTTCAATTAAAGAATTGCTAAGATTAATAAACAGTGGTGAACGATTTGACCAACAGATGCACTGTAAAGAAAGTTTTGTCGCTGCATGTAGCAGCTCTTCTGTCATTTAATCTCTCCTGTCCGCCAGTTTATCTCAGATCTCCCATTTTGTTCTTTTTCTACTTTTCCCCCATTTTACCTGTTAGATTTGTAACATTTCACAGTTTTGACGAACAGCTCAACTTTGGAGATAGACTTTTTGAGATGACCTCATGGGCTTCAGTACCAGGGACACAAAATGATTAGAACCAGTAGGGGGAAAACTAATAAAGCTTTCTTATAAAATGGGTAACAGGCTGTGGAATAAGTCAGCAGCAACAGCTACTGAAGCAATAATCCTCTAGAGACAACTAGAAATGTTCATGGAAAGATAAGTGATAGAAGAATATGGTGAATCGTGGGTAGGTTATGTAAAGATTGAGTCAGTCTATGCAATCCTACATCTTGGGTATAATATGAAGTACAATTGGGATTTGCAGAAGAAAATATAGCCTGAGAAGAAGAATCCCTTTGCAAATGCTTGCATTGTCCTTTGTGCCCAGGATCAGAGTTTTTTTCTGGGTAATAAGTGACACAACAATAACACTACACTATACAAAATGAAACATCAAGTCATTGCATTTTAAAATAAATAAAGCATTTTATGCACACTTCAATTATACGTCTGGCAGAAATCATGATAACCCACCACCACAATTTCTCATACTTTATACATACATGCTAAATACTCAGTTGGGTTATTTAGAAAAATACTGGGTAGAAAATGCTTTATTTAACAACAACTGATTCAAAATATTTACTATTTTAGTTTATTAATAGGTGCTTTTCAAGAAGGACCCTGTTTATACATCAGATTGAATATTACTGTATTGCATGCATCTAACAGGGAAACTACGGTTAAAGGACCTCAGCTTCTCAAAAGTGGTAGACTTTGATTTGATTGTTTTCATCCAATCCAAGCTGGATTAAACCTTGAGCGGATGGAGTTCTGCTGGTCTTTGTGAATAGAGGGCTGAAAACATAAGTAAAGGAAATGTAACAAGATTTCAATATCTGCCAAAGATTTTGTTGGCACAAATTTATTTACACTGAATCCCTACAGTATGGAAGCAGTGTCAGGTCATCGAGTCCACACCAACCCTCCAAAGACCTTCCCAGCTGGACTCACACCATCTACCCCATCTCTGTAACTCTGCATTTCCCATGGCTAAACCACCTAGCCTGCAGATCCCAGGACAATATGGGCAATTTAGCATGGCCAATCCATCTAACGTGCACGTCTTTGGACTGTGGAAGAGAACCAAAGCACCTGGAGGAAATCCATGCAGACACGGGGAGGATGCGCAAACTCCACACAGATAGTCATCTGAGGGTGGAATTGAACTGGGTCCTTGGTGCTGTGAGGCAGCAGTGCTAACCACTGAGCCATTGTGCCGCCCGTATATGACGGTACTAATCAGTGCATAAAGGCTGGAAGAAGGCAAGACATTTCCAGAAGACATTATAAGGCCCACCATCAATGTCTTTTAGAATTTGCTCACCCTTTCCCAAATAAGTAAGAGTAATCAAAATGCTCTAGGTCAGAATTCTGGACTTTCTACTGAATTGCAAGACAGTGGGTCAACATGGCAGTTCACCATGACCTTCTCAAAGACAGTTAGAAATGGGCATTAAATGCAGGCTCTGTCAGCAACACCCACATCCAAGGAATGAATTAAAAAAAGGGCATTTCACTTATCTCATCATTAATGAGGGAGTAACAGTATTATTAATCCTGAAAAAAATTTCAAGCCACTTCTGGCATCTTATACTTAACATTTTAGACCAGCTCAAATCATTACAAAGGTGGAGGAATTCGTGATACGAATAATGTGAAGCAGCTCAACTAAGATATAGTTGAAGTGCTCTGGGTTACATCTTTATTTGTATTGATTCAGCTGTCTCATGGTATTTTGGTTGGAGAAATAGAAAGACAACTTATCTAAATGGAGAGAAACTTCAGTGAGCTTCAATATAGAGGGGCCTAGGTGTCCCTGTGCATGAATTGCAGAAAACTAGGATGCAGGTACAGCAGGTAATGGAGGAAGGCATTTATTGCTAACGGAATATTATATAACAGTTGGGAAGTGTTGCTGCAACTGTACAAGCATTAGTGATAGTACACCTGGAGTATCCTGTACAACATTGGTCCCCTTACATGAGGAGGGATGTAGTTGTATTGGAGGCACTTCAGGGGAAGGTTCATGAGATTGATTCCGGAGATGAGGAGCTTACTGGGTGACATTATGAAGAGAGATTAAACAGCTTAGGCCTATACTCTGCAGTTCAGAAGGATGAGAGGAGAACTAACTGAGGTATATCGGATGTTAAAGGGATTGCAAAATAGATGAAGAAAGGATGTTTCATCATGTGGGGCAATCTAAAACAACAGGTAATAGGATAGGGGTAGTGGATTTAAGAGAGAGATGAGGAGAAATTACTTCTCTTAAAGGGTTGTGAATCCCTGGAATTCACTACTCCAGAGTCTGGTGGATGCTGGGACGTTGAATCAATCCAAGGAGGAAACAAAAGACAATTAATTAATAATGGGTTAAAGAGCTAAGGAAAGTGGGCAAGAAAGTGGAGTTAAAGCTTAGGTGAGATCAGCTGCGATCGTATCAAATGGTGGAGCAGGCTCGAGGGGCTGAATTCCCCATTCCTGCTCCTAGTTCTTATATTATTAGCCTCACTGACTCCTTCCAGCCATTTCTACTGATGATGCCATCAGTGCAGTTTAACTCAAAACACTCAAAAAAAAACAGGCTGAATGTTTTTAACTAGGTAGCACAGTGATAGGACTAAATGCAAGTTTAAAAAGTAGTGCAGCAAAGTTTCATGTCTATGAGATCAGACATGCCATTGACTCCTTGGATTTGAACAGATTGCTTTGAACAGGCGTCAAGTGGAGGTGAGGTATTTGTGTCCAATGCAATTCTACAAGATCAGAAGATGAATTTGAAAGTGCATTCCGAAATAATTAAAACTTGTGTCCTTTTCTTCACAGAATGATTCATACCCACTGCAGCAGATGGTACCTAAAAGTTAGAGAGCAGATAAATCACAGCAGCTCATTAATGGGTACCAATGCACAGTTCCTAGTGATTCATACAAAACAGCATTTATAGCTCCCTGGAGCAGAGACTTCTTACAGTCACTTGGCCACTGTTGACACTTTGCTCATGAAGGATGTGGAAAATGAAACAGTACGAAGCCTCAGATAATTGTATGACATCATAGCAATTCTCCAAATAAAATCTTTGATTTAAAATTAGTGTTGATTCCAGCTACTTTTTGAAAATCTCCAATTATAGTAGCACCTTCGTTACAGAAGTAACGGCTCCGTCAGTTTTCTCTCTGGTGATTGTAATTCTCAGAATCCTTTGAAAGCAACCACCGGTTTCTCTCACATTCTATAACACTCTCCAACATAGGCCCTGCCTGCAAACTTGCCTTTTACTCTTAGCAAAGGAGGTCAGATGAATGAGGTGAATACTATTAATAAAAAGCTCTTCCTACAATCAAAACAAAAATCTACCAGGTCAAACAACTAATTAGGATGCTTGGGCTTCAAACAAGCTCATATTGCTGCAAGCTCTTTATTAGAGTGGACTTGGCACAATAATTCTCTCACGCCCAGCATTATTTCCCTCCACGTTGAGTCTAATCTGCATCAGAATTAAGTTTATTATGCTGCTAAGCATGGCTTCAGCAACAAATTTGTAGCCCTTGATTAGTTAATTAATAGCCTCACATGAGGCTGCACAGTCTACATTTGCCTTCTGCCAGGGATCGAGGGGGCCAGGAAACTCTCAGACTTTTCTCAATATACAACATTGCTTCTGATACTACATCTCCATCAAGATCTGTCACCTATGTGCGCTGAGAAATGATAGTTTGTGTTTGACATGTGGAACAGCTAGTCAAGAGGAAGAACGAAGCTTACTTAAGGTTGAGGAAGCAGGGATCAGACGGGGCTCTAGAGGGCTACCATGTAACCAGGAAGGAACTGAAGAATGGACTTAGGAGAGCTAGAAGGGGGTATGAAAAAGCCTTGGTGGGTAGGATCAAGGAAAACCCCAAGGCGATCTATGCTTATGTGAGGAACAACAGGATACCCAGAGTGAGGGTAGGGCCAGTCAGGGCTAGTGGAGGGAACTTGTGTGCGGAGTCACAGGAGGCAGGGGGGGTCCTTAATGAATACTTTGCTTCAGTATTCACCAGTGAGAGGGACCTTCATATTTGTGAGGACAGCATGAAACAGGCAGATATGCTCGAACAGGTTGATGTTAGGAAGGAGGATGTGCTATAAATTTTGAAAAACACGAGGATAGATAATCCCCTGGGCCAGATGGGATATACCCAAGGTTACTATGGGAAGCGAGGGAAGAGATTGTTGCCCCTTTGGCAATGATCTTTGCGTCCTCACTGTCCACTGGAGTAGTACCAGATGATTGGAGGGTGGCAAATGTTATTCCCTTGTTTAAGAAAGGGAATAGGGATAATCCTGAGAATTACAGGTCAGTCTTACTTCTGTGGTGGGCAAATTATTGGAGAGGATTCTGAAAGATAGTAAACATGATTATTTGGAAAAGCACAGTTTGATTAGAAATAGTCAGCATGGCTTTGTGAGGGGCAGGTCATGCCTCTCAAGCCTTACTGAATTCTTTGAGGATGTGACAAAAGACAGTGATGAAGGCAGAGCAGTGGATGTGGTGTATATGGATTTTAGCAAGGCATTTGAAAAGGTTCCCCATGGTAGGCTCATTCAGAAAGTAAGGAGGCATGGGATTCAGAGAAATTTGGCTGTCTGGATACAAAACTGGCTGTTCAATAGAAGACAGAGGGTGGTAGTAGATGGAAAGTATTCAGCCTGGAGCTCGGTAACCAGTGGTGTTCCGCAGGGATCTGTTCTGGGATCTCTGCTCTTTGTGATCTTTATAAATGACTTGGATGAGGAAGTGGAAGGGTGGGTTAGTAAATTTGCCGATGACACGAAGGTTGGTGGAGTTGTGGACAGTGTGGAGGTGTTTTGTAGTTTGCAACGGGACATTGACAGGATGCAGAGCTGGGCAAAGAAGTGGCAGATGGAATCCAACCTAGAAAAGTGTGAAGTGATTCATTTCGGAAGGTCAAATTTGAATGCAGAATACAGGGTTAATGGCAGGATTCTTGGCAGTGTGGAGGAACAGAGGGATCTTGGGGTCCACATCCACAGATCCCTCAAAGTTGCTACCTCAGTTGATTGGGTTGTGAAGAAAGCGTATGGTGTGTTGGCTTTCATTGGCAGGGGAATTGAGTTTAAGAGCTGCGAAGTTATGTTGCAGCTCTATAAAACTCTGGTTAGACCACACTTGGAAAATTTTGTTCAGTTCTGGTCGCCTCATTATAGGAAGGATGTGGAAGCTTTAGAGGGTACAGAGGAGATTTACCAGGATGCTGCCTGGACTGGAGGGCAGGTCTTATGAGTAAAGGTTGAGGGAGGTAGGGCTTTTTTCATTGCAGCGAAGAAGGATGAGAGGTGACTTGATAGAGGTGTACAAGATGATGAGAGACATAGATAGAGTGGATTGCCAGAGACTTTTTCCCAGGGCGGAAATGACTATTACGAGGGGACATAATTTTAAGGTGATTGGAGGAAGGTATAGGGGAGATGTCAGAGGTAGGTTCTTCACAAAGAGAGTGGTGGGCGCGTGGAATGCGCTGCCGGCAGTGATAGTAGAGTCAGATACATTAGAGACAAGTAAGCAACTTGGATAAGAACATGGATGATAGTATAACGTAGGGTATGCAAGATAGTTTGATCTTAGTAGGATAATAGATCGGCACAACATTGTTGGCCGAAGGGCCTGTACTGTGTTGTACTATTCTATGCTCTATGTTCTTGATAACCTTAAATTTATTCTCCTCAGGTTGTGAAGGTCAACTTGTGGAAATAATTTATTTTCTATTTACTCTCTACAATTTTGGACACCTCTATGTACTAGAAGATTTAGTTTAGAAATAGGAAAATAGTACAGATGTATATGTGTGGCTTAAGAGCTGGTGCAAGAGGGAGGTTTTAGATGCCTGGATCACTTTTTTGGGGAAAGTGGAACACATACAAATGGAGAGTGATTGAGAAGGTTAAAGCACATGGAATTGAGGGAAGCTTGGCGAAATAGATCAGAAGCTGCTTTAGTAATAGAACACAAAGGATAGTGGTGGAAGGCTATTTGAGTGACTGGAGGCCGGTGTCCAAAGGTGTACCACAAGGATCAGTACTGGGGCCCTTACTGTTTGTTACGTACATAAATGATATATATGGTTACGTAAAGCAAATTTGCAGATAACACCAAGATTGGTGGTGAAGAAGATGGTTGTGGGTTACAGGAAGATATAAATGGGTTGATCAAATAGGCAGACCAGTGGCAGGTATTTAAAGTGCGAAGTGATGCACTTTGGAAGAAGAAACAAGATGAAGGAGTACTTAATGAACGGCAGGACACTGTTAGAGGAACAGAGGGATCTTGGGGTAATTATTCACAGATCCTTGAAGTCGGCAGAGCATGTGAATAGAATTGTTAAGGTATCATATGGGACAGTTGCTTTTATCAGTCGTGGCATAGAGGAAAAGAGCAAGGAGGTAATGTTGGAGTTGTGCAGAGTGTTGGTTAGGCTGCATCTGGAGTACTGTGTGCAATTTTGGTCACCTCACTAGAGGAAGGATGTTTAGCACTAGAAGGGGTACACAGGAGGTTCACCAGGATGTTGCCTGGGATGGAGATATTGAGCTATAAGGTGAGACTTGAAAATTGTTTGCTATAGAGCACAGAGGGGACATGACTGAGGTGTATAAAATTATAAGGGGTTTGGATAGGGTGAATAGAGAACAGCTGTTCCCCTTGATTGAGGGGCTCAATCACGAGAAGGCACTGTTTTAGGGTAATGGGCAGGAGATTCTGAGGGGATACGGGAAAAAAACATTTTCACTGAGCGGGTGCTGGGAATTTGGAATGCACTGCCTGGGAAGGTAGTGGAGGCTGAAAACCTTTCAACCTTTAAAAGATATTTGGATGAGTACTTCAAATATCATAACATTCAAGGATATTGGGCCCATGCAGCAAATTAGGTTTAGTGCATTTTTAGTATCAGTTATGTCGGTGCAGACTCGATGGGCAGAAGGGCATTTTCTGCACTGTATGAATCTATGAATCTACCAGATACACTCTTAACCTTAGCTCTGAGAGAAAGGATCTCAGTCTCTCCTTCATTTGACCAATCCACTGAGTTCTCTGAAACTTTGCAAGTCAAAGTTACACACATGAATAATCAAATGGCACCGATTGAAGAGAAATTTTGTACCTATTAAGCTAAAAAGGTAAAAAAGAATTACATTCAAATTAAGGCCTCAGATACAATGACCATTAACAATTGGAATAAGCAATTATCTAGGGGAAAAAACATGAATTTCTTTTAACTAATTTTGTGGCGATACAGCGAAGTTAGGAGAGCTACGCTGCTTTTAACACCAATCTAAATGAAACCTATCTCTGCAACAATTTACTCATAGTTCAGCTACTTTTCACAAAGGAAAATTTATCATTGTTTAAAACATAGATTTAAAGATGTTACTGTCTTTGCAATTCCAGCTCTGTTGTCATACCCCAATCCTCTGGGTATATTCTTTGACATCTTCCATTTCTATGAGCCATGGATTAACTCAGCAACAGATGCAGGCGTGTTTCTTTCCCTCTTCTGATACCACAACAGCTGCTACACCCCCGCTACTGCTGTAATATTTTAAATTGGTTTTAAAAACTCTGCTCTTTAGCTTAACAGCACCATAAGTAACCTAGAATTGGCACAAATAAAGACCAGCATTTTGAGCTGCATTATCAGTGTTAAGTCATTCTTACTTTCCAAACATTGTTTCTGGTTGAAGCAGATTGATGCCTTGTTCTTTTAAAAGATTCACATATTTAAACCAAAAGAGACAGAATGGTTCTTGAATCTCTGTACTAAACAGTGCTAAATATGGTTTTAGAATTTTTAAAAGGATACACTTTTGGGTCCTTTTTGAAGCTTTCCAGCCATTTTTTATTGGCATCAATCATCCCTTGAATAGAGTTTCTGTCCCCTTGTGTAATCTTGGAATGTGATTGGTGTAACATTTTTACTTGGTCACTGCAGGAAGTAACATTTAAAAAACAAAATGTCAGCAGTACAGTAACTTAGAATGGAGATTAACCATAAAAATATAATTTGTACAAATTTATCTCCTTTATTAAACAGTACCAAGTGATTAGACCAAGAAAACAACACCTTAGCACAGGTTGATGACTCACCCTTCTACCATTTTTATTCTTTGACATTTCATTAGGTCGATAGAGCTATTCACCATTGCTCTCATATTCATACTTATTTAATTTCAGATTATTTTACTATCATTTCAATTTACCCAGAATCTTACTGTTCTAACTTTAAAATGATTTTGTGAATGTGCTCTGCTCTATTTGGAATAAGCACTTGACAGAGAAATAGCCAAATGCAAAAGGACTGCACAGCAGAGGTTAAGCAATAGTCTCAAGTTAATTGATAACAATTCTTATTGTTGTCACATCTGACATATTTAGCTTATTAAATAGAAAGCAACTAATGAAGTCTCTACTATCAAATTGGTAGAATTAGATTTTGAAAAAACACCATAAGGATGTATTTATTTCCCTTTTACTCTTTCTATTCTGTTCTTTACTTAAGGTGTTGACTCTTTATAAAGTCTTGGTCATTTCCAAGTAGCTTGTCCAAATTGTCACTCTGGTTTTTTTTTTTGGGGGGGTGGAGGGGGGAGTAATTTGAACATAACTGACCTGGTGAGATCCCCATAGAGTCAACTGGAATGTGGTTTTCAGTTGTTGCTTTCTAAAAAAGTACAATTGAGCAGCGTGTAAAGAAGTATTGTATTTGATCTCACCACTTTATCCCAACAAATGAATGAACCCTTGCAGGCAATAAACTAAATGAAGGAATCATTACAATCCAAACTCAATTAGAAACGTACACATACAAATTACTCTCAATCATAAGTGGGCTTGTGTGTGCGGAGTTTTCACTCCGTATGTCAGTGTGTATCTTGTAGTAACTCTCTCTTTGCTGTTTTGGTTCAATAAAAAGCTCAAATGGAGACCCGAAACAACTTCTTGTTCCCAACTCAGGGACACCGAGACCAGGTACAGAAACCTTTCAGCTGTCCTACAGAGTTATATCAACAAAGCCACGAATCAAACATGACCATTCTTGTCTTTTTTTAAAAGTTCATTCACAGGACTGGACAGGGGACAGGGGTGTCATTTGCTAGGCCTAAACTTGATGCCCTCCCTAATTGACTTTAAGAAGGTGATGATATGTTGCCTTTTTGAACAGTTGCAGTCTGTGTGGTGTAAGTATGTTCACTCTGCTATTAGGAAGGAAATTCCATGCTTTTGACCAAGTGACAGTGAAGGAACAGCGATATAGTTCCATATCTGGATGGTGTGTGGCTTGGAAGGGAACTTGCAGGTAGTGGGACTCTCATGCACCTTGTCCTTCTGGGTAGCAGAGGTCTTGAATTTGAAAGGTGCTGTCTAAAGGGCTTTGTTGAGTTGTTGCAGTGCATCTTGTAGATGGTACACACTCCTGTTACAGTTTGGTGGTGGTTGAGGGAGTGAATGTTGAAGAAGTTTGATGGGGTGCCAATCAAGCTGTCTGCTTTGAACTGGATGGTGTCAAACTTCTTGAGTGTTGCTACAGCTGCACCCATCCAGAGAAGTGAAGAATATTTTGTCACATTCCTGACTTCTTCTTTGCTGTTGTCAGGGTTTGGGTGGTGAGGTAGTGAGTAACTCACCACAGAATTCCCAGCCTCTGATCTGCCCTTGTACCCACAGCACTTATATCACCTGCTATGTTAAGGGCTAGAACTATTTGCTCCAGGAAATTCTCATCATGGGACGGTACTTAAATTAACTTGATGTTTCTCTTTCCATACATTGGTAGATCTGGTGTATTTCCTCAAGAGTTTCTAATAATAATAGTTACTCCTTAAGTAAATTCAGAGAAAAATATTTTTATGGATCAGAATAGATCACTTAGTCAACACATATGCTTCAAATATTTCATCTTGTGTTGAGAGACACTGTGGATTTTTACAGGGATCCCAGCTGGGTGAAGACACAGAGGGAATACTTCAGCAGATGCTGGTGCGAAAAGATAAAGACTGCAAAAACATGTTACATATAAAAGAAAACTTAGTCACACATTGTTTAATACAGATGAAACAGTCTCAAGATTCTAAAGGATTTCACCTTTATTTCCGAACAATGCCGCCAATTTGAGCCACATAATACGTAATTGAAAGTGGGAAGTAACTAACAACAGAGAGTAGGAATCACGAATAGCATGATAAAATAGGAACTGGAAGCTCACTGAGACACAGGTCTGTTTATGAACATATTTTCAGAAAACACGTATGTAAACAAGAACGTATGCAAATAGTCTATTTTGCATTAAGGATGATCAAAGCCAGATAAAAAGACAAGAGAAAATACTTGTTTGCATAAGAATTGCACAGGACTGTCAAGCAATGTGGCACACTTCATAAATTCATGAATAGAGTCACAAGTAACATGCTGGTACCAAGATAAGTTTAAAAAGAATAAGAATACATTCAGATGATAATCAATCTTGAGATTTCAGCACGGAAAACAATACAAAGCTAAACTGCATCATCACGGTGCTATACATTTTTCCAACAGGCCATGGCTGAATTTTTTTTGAGCCTGAATATCTGCTGAGTAGCAGCCAACAAGCTGAAGTGTGTGTCCAGGTTCTGTGAAGTCCAAAATTGCTGTCCCCTAGAGCTAATCTTGCTCATCTGGACTTTTGTTGGTAACAGCCTTGAAAACTCACAATAAACGGGAAAGAAAATCTAAAAGAAACTTTGCATACATAGAAAACAAACTAAATTTTTTTGTTCATTTTTATGAAGAAGTTGTTTAGCAATTGGAAAACCAATTAAATCCGCATACTTGTGCTGTCTAATACTGCTGGTTACTGCTCACACATCAACTTGGCTCTGAGAACATAGGATTCTTAAGGGGCTTGACAAGGTCAATGATGACAGAATGTTTCCCGTCATGGGAGAGTTTAGGACCAGAAGGCGTAGTCTCCGAATTACGAGATACCAATTTGAGACTGAGATGAGGAGGAATTTCTCTCAGAGGATTGATAGTCTCTAGAACTCCTTGTCACAGAGAGCTGTAGGACAGAGTCCTTGTGTGTATATTTAAGGTTGCCATATGAATAGATTCTTGATCAGTAGGGGAATCCAAGAGTTATAGGGAAAGGGCAAAAAAAAAGGACGAGGAATATCGGATCAGCCATGATTCTATTGAATGGTGGAGTAGGCTCGAGGAGCTGAACAGCCTGCTCCTGTTTCTATTTAATTAGGTCTTTTCATGGTATAAGGGTCCGCAACATTGTATTTGCTTCCTCAGCAATCATACAACAGAGGTTATTCAAATAATTTTACAGGAAAGGGATTATATGATAGTGATACATATTTGGTTGATGGCTTTCTCATACATACAGGCAGTGTTCACAAAAAATGTCTTTCCCTCTTTCCATCAGGTGATAACATCAGAAGGCGTTGGTTGCTTTTGGATGAACAGAAGATGACTAATGTTAGATTGGAACACCATGATGGCATTGTGACCTCATGCGTTGCTGGCTCATCTGAGTGTACAAATTATACAGAGACGTGTCTGGGCTCATTTAGAAACATCATTTTTGAAAAAATATACCTAATGATGTACAGCACCTATAAGGTGTTGGAAGATTTCAACAAACTCAAAATGCTATATGACCTTCGTTCATTAAATTCTTTTGGTAGGGGGTTTGTTGTTTCATTTTCGTTAAGCAATATTTCACATGGTTTCAAACACTGGACAGTCACAATTAATGTGCTGCTTTTAAGCATCTTGGATTGCTAAGCACCATAATCTGCTAATCACAGCTCTATGAGTTGTTATTTATTGATGAATGGGATGTTAGCTCAGCTGAGTGTTTCAGTATCAGGGAGAAACAAACTCAAGCATGGATCATCATAGTGAAGACTGCTAGAGAGTTCTAGAGGTTGGACAGCACAACCCTCATGGGCAAAAGTGGACTAAATAAAATGAAAGTTGCAAGAAGCACCCGGTTCTAAACCATTAACATGCATAGTAAAATGTTACCCAATTTTAATGTAATGGGTAAAGGGTAAATAACCAGAAAGCAAAAGAAATTACCCTCAAATGAAGTTTTACCTTGCAGAAACATAACCAAAACGGCTCTCAAGGGGTGCAGAACTTCTTAATGCTGGCATTCCTCCTGGTTACAAGAAAAAATGATCAGATTAAAAACAAAAATAATCAACACGAAAATCAAATGACCTCAAATCCAATGATTTCCTTCCATAGTTTATGAATTAAATGGTATAACTGATCCGAGAATTCACCATTCAACACTAAAGTTAACGCTTTCTGCTCTCTCTCTTTATTCAGTTTTCCTATTTCAAAGAGCATTCACTGCCCAAGAAGATGGACAGCTCACCTGCCATTGTGGTCGTTTGATTTTTTTCGTGGGAAACAACTAAGGAGCAAATGGTCATAAGCTCAGAACACTGTCAAAACTAAAAACACGAATGTGAGAGTGTAGACAAGGTAAATTCGGAAGAATTGATCGGATTTTGAAAGCCTTTTCTGTCCAGTGATACTCATGGATAGAAAATCATGGGCTGTCCATTAATTATCATCAGATACGTGCTGGCTTGCACAGAAGATCTGCCTCTGCCTTAATCACCATTTATGATAAAGGTATTTAATATCCTATTTAGGCTATGTGAAAAATGTTCTAAATTTAATCTTGCCTTCTATTGACAACTCTGATTCTATGCCTCCTTGTTATTGGCTCACCAGTTAGGTGCAACAACCACTCCTTTTTTACTTTTCTAAAACATCATTTGGAAACCTCAAGAACCGGTCTTGATTACTCCACATTTTATTGCTTCTCTGTTCTCTGCACTTGGTATGATTTTCAGCATAGGGCAGCCATCTAAAAAGTCTTCCATAATGTTAAAGAAAGCATTTTGACGCTATTTTCTACTTATGCTCACTATGCAAGCATGTATTGTCAACAAATGGGTAGATTGCCTACCAAGTAGCTTTTCTAATGGAAATTAGAAACACATTTATAAATAAATTATGACAACAAATTCTAACTGTGTGCATTTAAAATCGTCAAATTCTGATTGCATGAAATGTTTGCGTATTATAAAAATGTGCTTTTCTGTCAGTTTGAGCTTTGTCTAACCTTGAGAGCAAATCACCGAAAGTGAAAACTAAGGTTTGAAACTCATTCACGTCTGCAATTTGAATTTGATTACACACTGCATAAAAGTTGTCTGTTAAGCTGCCGTTAAAAATCAATTGTAGAAGTGCAGATCCCCATGTTGCAGAGAAGACCAGTCAGACCCTCTCCCCAAATAAAAATTAAAAAGAATAAACTGGATCCAAATGTACTATCAGTACAGAGTATCTTAGATTGCAATAGCTGACCTGTACATTTGTTCAAACCTCCCAACCTCATGACAGATAAAATATAACAGAAATACAGGAATAAATGTCACATACAGTTTGAGTAAGAAATATTTTGTTGAAACAGTTTAAAGGTATTTTGCAATAAGCTTTAGTGATTAAATAACATTAATATCTGACCTGGGAAGTACTTGTGCCACTTCTCACTTAGTGCATCATCTACAGATTGAGATGTGGGAAGATGGGTGGTGGCATTTGTTCCTCTGTTCCAAATCCATTGCGAAGGCAAGGGAACAGTGTTGGAGGAAAGCAAAGACCCACTGTTCTGGGTCCTTGACAAGGAAGTATACACAGACAAAGGCACACTGTTGCTGGGAGGTGGGACACTGAGAGTCTGTGCAGTGGAAAAAAGCGGTGACTGTTGTATCCCCAGTGATCCAAGAACACAGAGAACACTGTTAAGATCATTGGTAATTTTTTGAACGGAATCACTGAGATACTGTATGTTGGCACGTTGAGCAAGGGACAACTCGGTCTTTAAATCTGCTGTGAAAAGAACAAAAGATAATTCAAAACATTCAAGTAATGAGAATTAAAATTCTTAGAACTCTTTTTTGAATCAACCCGCTTGGAGATATAGTGACCCACCTTTCGAGCAGGTGGGACTTGAAACTGGGGCTCCTAATCCAGAGGTAGAGACACTATCACTGCACAACAACAGCACCATTAATTTTGTTGAAAAAAACACTCTACTTTCCCATTGGACCTTAGGTGAGGCCAAAAACAGGCTCAATTGCTATGTTCTCTCAGTTAAATCATTTGGTAAGTAGTATTTATGGTATTTGAGCCTGGATTTTCAGCTTGGCAGCATAAGCCGTCTGAAACGTTGTTAAAATACAAGCAATCAGAAAGTTGAGGTTTTATTGTGGAGGTTTATTCAGGAACAATGCATCCATCTAATGCTAGACTACAGCCTTACTTGCTTTCCACTTGATTCAGACTGCTACAAATCTTGACCCACCTCTCCTGTCTTCATTTATTGAGATAGAGAGGTAAGGAATGCTCAACTTTTGAAACTGAGAGTTAAATATCCCAATATTTCAAAACCTACTGCTGGCTTAAAACCTATTACATTTCTATCTCTATTCAGTTCTGATGAGTGGTTATTGCCCTGAAACATTGACCATTTTTTCTTTCCAAAGATCCTACATGATCTGCTGAGTATTTTTAACATGTTCTCATTGTATTCTCCAGTGGCTACTGGCCACTTCTAGCGGTCCACTGGTAAAGCAGGCTTTGTGCATTCATAGAAGGCAGAGGAACATTAAACAGTCAATAAAGAAAGAACGAAAGGGTAAGATGGCTGTAAAATTAAAATAGTAGGTCGTACTACAGACATACAAGATGTTTGTTTTTGAGCTCACTTTTCTGCTGAGGTGAGTTGATGCTGGCAATGCTGCTAATGTCATCGGAGTCTGTAAGGTCAAAGGTCACAGCTTTTTTGTCTCCTATGTCTTTTGGTGCATCTTCATCTGAAATCTAATAGATTAAAGTCTTTAAATTCACTCAATCTACAGCAGGTAAACATTTTAAAAATACAATTTCCCTTGTGTGCGCTCAGTTAGCAGATTTCTGGTAGGGCAACCCCACTGGATTAGAAAGGGCTAACCAACTAGTTTGTCCATCCATTTTGGGAAGCATAAATTTGGACAACAGGTGGAGACAGGTCTGAACTCAGCTGAAAGTAATAACGTACCATCAAACTTATTCACCATAGAGGCTTGTGTATGCTATGTCTATTTGTGTAAGGTAGTAAAATACCACTGCAAGTAATGAAAACAGGAGAAGAAATTAGAAGAGCAATGTTTTCAAATTCTTATTCCTAGCAGAAGGAAGTCCAGGTGACATGTAAGTATGGGTGATTCTGATTCAGAAATCAATCTTGCCACTCAATTTTCCCAAGCTTTTCCCAAGCAAAGAACAACTTCTGTATGCTGCTGGTTCCATTAGAGGAAGCTTAGAAACCCTCTGCCAGGACCTAACATTTTCCACCTAAGGATTGATCCAGATGAGCCTGTGGCATTGCAGAGGTAGGATATGACTCTCCCAAGTGAGTTGTGTTCAAAGGATACCCACCCCTTCAGCAAGAGATGATTCCAGCTGATTAAGTTTTTCTTCCTTTTTTTGCAGTAACAGCTGGCCCTGCCTCATTGTTAATTTCATCTCATCCAGATGCTGGGCTTCCTAAAGCAATACAGAAGAACATGAGCAATGAGCCAAGAACCCAAACTTATTCATAGAATCACAGAATCCTTATGGTGTGGAAGCAGGCCATTCGGCTCATTGAGTCCACACCGACCCTCTGAACAGCATCTCACCCAGACCCACCCCCCTACCTTATTACTGTAACTCTGCATTTCCCGTGGCTAATCCATTTAGCCTGCACATCCCTGTACAATGTGGACAATTTACCATAGCCAATCCACCTAACCTGCACATCTTTGCACTGTGGGAGCACCCAAAGGAAACCCACACAGACACAGCGAGAATGTGCAAACTCCACACAGTCACACAAGGCTGGAATCGAACCCTGGGTCCCTAGTGCTGTGAGGCAGGAGTGTTAACCACTGAACCACCGTGCTCCCCAGTTATATTGATTATACTGAAAAAATTATTTTTGCTTCTAATATTCAAAGCTGCACTTGCATCTGCACTACTGGCCATCATATTAAGGAAACAACAATCACAAAAAAAATCCTTTAGGTTTCACTAAGCTACTGTTTTCATGTAGCTAATTTATTCCTCGGTGAATGAGTAAGTTCATACACTTGAATGTGGTATTCAGCCATAAACCTCAGAAGGTCCGCTTTCAAACTAAACTCTCAAGTCAGTGAACATTAGTATGCAATCAGGGCATTGCATTAAGCAGTCAAGCTGCCTGATAAAACTCAATGGGTTTACAAGTGAAATAGATCACTTGACCAGGGTACTAAATGATCACCAAAACTGGTGAAATCATAGACTAGAGAAGAAAGAAAATTAAATATAAAATCTCTCCTAATCTGTTTTCTTTGATCCCTTTAATTGTTTGGAGGCAGCATTTCAACTTTTTTGTTGGTTAATATCTATGTATTTAAAACACATCATAGATCTATTGTTCCTTCACAGAATCTATTTAAATGCATCTCACAGAAGACCCAGAGCGTTGAAAATATGCACACACTGTTAACGAGAGTGTGGATTTTCTGCTATCATTGGGCATCCCTTTCGTTCAGTTCTAATCCACTCACCTGTTCCAGGTTTTTGTAGACATCCTGCAGGATTTGACTGCTGTCTGGATCTTGCACATCTTCCTGTGCTTTTCTGATGTTGTGCCTCCACTGCTGCTTAGCTGACTTAAGTGCTGTCTGCCGTTTCCGAAGTGAGCGGGTCTGTCTCATTAGGAACTCTTTGGCTTTATTGATGGATAGTCCTTCAGCAGAGATATAGTACCTTACACTGAGGAAAGTAGATTAACCAGTCACAGAAGTCAGTTAGAATCTTCATTAAATTCACAAGTTATTCTTTCTCCTTCCAGTTTTGAAACTAAAGCTCATTACGTGACATTTGACTGAACCACTGCATGCTAAAATAATTTTGAAACTCTTCAATTCTTACGACTTATAGACTTCTAAAGCTCTAACTCTGTGTGTCATTACAACTTCTTGAGTTACCTCATTTTCACTGTCAAATCCTTCTTGTGAGACTTGCCTCTTCACCAACATCTAAGACCATAACAAAACCATAAGACATAGGCACAAAAGTAGGTCATTTAGCCTATCGAGTCTGGCCTGCCATTCAATGAGATCATGACTGATCCAAAAATTCTTAACTTCACTTTCCCGCTCTTTTCCCATATACTCGGTTTTCACATTCTCGCTATTTCTCAATTCCCTTACTGTTTGAAAATCTATCTTAGCCTTGAATATATTAAAAGATCCACCTTCTAAAGCCCTCTAGGAAAGAAATCCACATATCCACTATCCTTATGTAAGAAATTCCTCTTCACCTCTGTCCCAACTGGACAACCCCTCACTTTGAGATTATGCTTTCTGGTCCTAGTCGCTCCAACAAACAGAAACAACTTCTCAACATCTATCCTGTCAAGCTGACTAAAAATCTTATATGTTTCAATAAGGTTGCCTTTCATTCTTCTGAACTCCAATGAACACGAACAAAACCTACTCAATAAGTGGTTTATGCTCACTTTGGCCTTTCACTTTTGTTTATATATTTAAAGGAGCTCTTGTTGTCCGTCTTGATATTACTTGCAAGTTTACCCGCAATGTTTACTTTCTCCCTTTTTATTATTTTTTTCGGTCGTCTTTATGCTGATTTTTAAAACTTTCCTAATCCTCCGATTTACCTACCACTAATCTTTGCTACATTGTATGTTTTTCTTCTTTCAATTTGATACTATCTTACTTCCCTGGATGGCCTATCCCCTTCCTAGAATCCTATATTCTCAGCAGCATGTATCCTTCTTGTGAGTCATTAACTATTTCCAGAAACATCAGCCATTGCTCTTCAACCATCTTTGCTGCTCAACTCCTTCCTCAGTCCACTCCAGCTGATTCTGCTCTCATCCTTTGTAACTACTCTTATTTAAGTTTAGTATAGTTGTTTCTGACCCAATATTCCAACTCTCAAACTGAATGTTAAATTCTTCCATGTTATGGCGGTCACCATTTTCTACGGTATCTTTTACTCCAAGATCATAAAACACATTGGTGAAGTAAAAGGGGGATTTTCACAAAAGTACTTTGCTAGTGTAGGATGGAATAAAGTGAGATTTACTCAACAACTGGCCAAATTATAACCACATTCTGGTATAAGCTATTGCACAAGACATTCAAAGTTGCTCCAATCTGTCTTTAAATACATTCCCTATTGCTTTAAATGGGGATACAAACACTATTTAAATAAATACCCTTGGGATTATATTTGTTACTTCATTTTTACACTGACAAGAGACTAGTGATTGTGGACGTGGCACTCTCCAACTGCAAAAAGCACACAATCAGTAGAGAGGAGGCAAACTCTATGCCTTCACCAATGTTCTAATCCCAATTTTCATGGATTTCAAATGCTGTGGCAACAGTCAATGCAAAATACAGCAGTTGTCAACAAGTGACCTTCCAATGAGTTGAATGTGGATTGGTCACATTGGTTGACATTATAAAAATTGCTGCTAATAACACACACAATAACTTTATTGTTTTTTGACTTCTTAACATTAAAAGTAGAATAGCCAGTGCTGAGATGATGGGCTGAACAGTCTCCTTCTGTACTGTAACAATTATGTGATTCCATGACATGACAGGAAACAAAGTGGTCTGAAAGTACAGCATATTCCCCACTTACTTATCCATGCTGACTTCCTCATCTTCAGTTCTGGGAATTGGGGACCTGCCGCGATAGGGGTCCTGAAGACGTTGAAACAAAATGAAACAATTTATCATTGGACTTTGTGGCAAATAACAACAGACTATTAAATGAACAAGCTGTTGGAATGCTTGTCTGAAACATTAAAATTAAACTTTTAGATATTATAAAATATGCTGAGTAAGAAATGCACAGGTGTATTATGATCTCTCAGCAACAAAGCTTTATACAACAGATTTAATTCAGGGAAATAAGCAAACCCGAGGTAATTTTATTCATTTGCATGGATACAGTACAGAAGTCTACTTCCTCAAAACTGTCTATTTCGATCATCTAGGAATAGAGGGGTTCAATATGGCTTCTATCTTTCCACTGTACTGCACAGACAGTTTCAGTCTAATAATTACTTGGTCACAGTTTGTGGCCAAACCCAACATTTTAATTGGCAATCTTACTTAGGCAGACCAGAAGAACGGATAATTTCAGAAATGGCAAATGCTGCTGTGGTAAATGAGGGAATATTTCTCTTCTGAGGCTGGGTGAAAAGGTAGTAATAGCTTTGCCCTTCATTTGGCTGTGTCACAAATGAAGCAGGAAAGTTTGATGTTGGTAACAAGCAATAAATGTGTAAAAAATAATTCCTTATGAACTGAATTAAAAGAAAACAGAGAACACTGAAAATTTGAAAAAGTGCCAATTCTAATGAAGAATGTCTCTACAAAACCTTAGCATTTCCATTTATTTCTAAGATTTGGCTATCTATTTCGAGCACTTTTTATGTTATATTACAGACAATCTTTCATTGAATGGGAAACAAAAGTGCACTGACCCTTAAAGATGTCTACTCTCAACATTAATAAGACAGTATCCGAAACCTACTGAACAACTGAGAAATGCACAAGTCTGATCAACTGTTGAGATATGTGGCAAAACGGTAAGTGTATAAAAGTTAAGAAACTTGGACTTTCTGGGTTAATAAGGTTCAATTTAAAAAAAAAATAGGGCTAAAAAGAGGTCACATTTGCTTTTAAATTTCACTCTCACCGGGTTAACGTGCAGGTTTAAATCCTCAATATGAAGTTCACCCTCTTCTGCCTCACCAGAGGTTTCGTTGATTACAGGCACTTCCTTCAGCATCTCTTGTTTCTTTTTGATTGTCACCTCTAACTCACTGCAAAATAGTATTTCTTTTTAGAATTAAATTACATTAAGTACTGTTTGGCTACAGATGCCACATCTTAATACAGCTGAAGCAAATGTGATTGTGGAGCATTTGGTAATATAGTCTAATTTTGTTTTTAAAACAAAAAGCATTTTAAAAAATATTTTATTCTAAGACCTTTCTTGCATATTTCTGACAGGCCTTATATTTCAATTCTCCTGCTGCCTTGGCAAATATACCCCCTTCAAACAAAATCACCAAGATCAGATCAACTGGCATTCGCCTCATTGATATTGGGGAAATTTATTATGAATAGAATGACACCTGCATTTTCTACAGAATTACTTCAGCTATTGAGTTCAAATTAATTTGCTCTATTTGAAAAGCTTTGAGGCCATTCCTGAGAGATGGGATCAGGTATTATGACTATAAATCTGCAACAACAGGCAACAATTCAGATACCCACAGCCCTCTGGAACCTTCCTCCCCTTCCCTCTGACCCCACCTCCTGTCGTGTATTTACCACCCCTTATGACTTTCTGCTCTCCGATGCTGAACATTCTGTATTCAGCAAAGGTCTCAGTTTTATCCCTCTGCATCCCCACCTTAATGGATTTCGGACATGGCATGATGTTGAACTTTTCTTCCATCGCCTTTACCTCTGTGCCCATTTCTTTGGACATGAGTCCTCTACCCGTTCCACGGATCACTTCACCCACCGCCAACTCTCTCCCTCCACCTCGACCCCTCCGCATTGGCCTTTTACCTGCCCTTGACCTGTTCCTTGAGAACTGTCAATGTGACATTGGTCATCTCAATTTCTCTGACCCCTACCCATTCCAAACTATCTCCCTGTGAACTGACTGCACTCTGTGATCTCAAGTCCATCCCTTACTTTATAATTAGGCCTGCTGACAAAGGTGGTGCTGTTGTGGTTTGGCAGACTGACCTTTACATTGCAGATGCTGAGTGCCAGCTCGCAGACACCTCCTCTTATCTCCCCCCGGACCATGACCCCACCATGGAACATCAAGCCATTGTGTCCACTACGGTCACTAATCTCTTTTCATCCAGTGATCTCCCCCTCCCCTACCTCCAATCTCAGTCTCCCAACCCTGCACAGCTCACTTTTACCTCCTTCTCAAAATCCACAAACAGGACTGCTTGGGCAGACCCATTGTTTCTGCCTGCTACTGCCTCACAGCACTCAGCTCCTCCTACCTCAACTCAATTTTTTCTCCCCTTGTCCGGTCCCTTTCCATTTACATCGATGATTCCTCTGCCACTTTACATCAGGTTCAGAATTTCCAGTTTGCAGCCTCGAGCCGCCTCCTCTTTACCTTGGGCTTGCAATTCCTTTACATGTCCATCCACTATCAGGATGGTCTCGGGGCTCTCTGCACCTTCCTGGAACAAAGGCCTGAACCGACCCAGTTCACCATCTCCCTCCTCTGCCTGGCCGAGCTTGTCCTGACCCTGAACAACTTCTCTTTGAATTCCTCTCACCTTCTTCCCATTAGAGGGTGGCCATGGGCACCAGTGTGGGCCCCAGTCATACCTCTCTCTTTGTAGGGTACGCGGAACATTATTTGTTCCATTCCCCCAACCCTTTCTGCGGTATATCGATAATATCAAAGGCACTGCTTCCCTCTCTCATCTGGAATTGGAGAAGTTCATCAATTTTGCTTCCAATTTCAATCCCTCTCCCACCTTCACTGGTTCATCTCTGACTCCTCCCTTTCCTTCCTCGACATTTGTTTCCATTTCTGGGGATAGGCTGGCCATCAATATCCACTGCAAACCAACCAACTCCCACAGTTACTTTGACTATACATCACATGGTCTGCTATTACACACAACTCATTGTTAGCCACTAATAGTGCCCATTAGTAGCCATTCATTCTCCTAGGTTGATCGTTATCGACTCCGTTGTCTGTCCAACTGTTTTCTCTCTTGGGGCTCTATTACTACTGATCGTTACTCCTTACCCTCTCTCCCAACCTATCTTCTGCATAAAAAACAATTTTTTCCTAAGTACCATCAGTTCAGAAGAAGGGTCACAGGGCCTGAAATGTTACAATTTCTGTTTTTGTTTCTGATTTCCAGCATTCGCCGTTCGTTTGGTTTTTATTACTGCAAATCTGTTCTTTTCATCTGCATTTATGGCTTGTTTTGATATGATATCACAAAATGTTGAGATTTACCTAATCATCAATATTCTGAGCGACATGGACTATGGTGAGATGCGTGGCAGAATTAAGCGATAATGCATCACAATATCGAAATGATCTTGCGTCATCTTTCATGTTTTCCCAAGCAGTGCAATGAGATTGTTGATAGGCAGAGGCAAGGATGAACTCTTGTTAAATACCTTGTTTACATCACAACTCACCTCATGCATATTCAGACTCCACTTTATCCAATTCACCAAACATGCCAGATGTCAGAAAAAGTTGCAGGAAATCACAGCGTCTACCTGGCGGATTCAACTGGCCACTTGCTCTGAACAATATCCATGCTGGACACTGGGCAACATCATCTCAGGACACGATCCATGGGCACCAGCTGCAATCATCATTTTCCATGGATATTGACACCTGCCAACCCATTATCACCATCCTGGCGCTGTTCATTGAAGGCACTCCAAATGTACAGACTTGTATTGCAGGACGCACCAGCAACTAGCACTGAAATGCTGCAGTGGGGACACTTTGAGCACAGGCACACACCCAGCTCACAGGTAGAATCAAGCTACATCTCAGGGCTTGATCTTTTAGTGCTCACTCTCTTAAATGCCTATTTATATGCTCAAAGCATCCCTTCCTTGCCTTGTTGTGCCAATTAGTGCTGTCATAGAAACACGCAGCTTGTCTTGATGCTAAGCAGTCCTCAGCCATAGCAATATGCAAACGCTATGGGCGATGACAACATTCCAGCAAAAGCACTGAACACTTGTGCTGCAGAAACTGCTGCTTCCCTAGCCAAGCTGTTCCAGTACAGTTACAACATTGGCATCTACCTAACAATGTTGAAAATTGCACAGGTACATCCTGTACATAAAAAGCTGTATAAATCCAACACAGGCAATCACTGCCCCAACAGTCTACTCTTGATCATCGGTAAAGTGTTTGAAGGTGTCATCAACAGGGCTATCAAGCTGCACCTGCTCATCAAAGATCTGCTTAGGGATACCTGTTTGGGTTCCGCCAGGGCCACTCAGCTCCTGACCTCATTACAACCTTTTGTTCAAACACAGACAAAACAGCTGAATTCCAGAGGTGTGGCGACAGCGACTGCCCTTGACATCACGGCTGCGTTCAACTAAGTCTGGCATCAAGGAGGCCCAGTAAAACTGGGTATCAGGGACAAACGCTGGAGTCATACATAGCATACAGGAAGTGACAAAAAAAACTGCAGATGCTGGAATCCAAGGTAGAAAAACAGGGGCTAAAAGATCACAACAAGCTAGGCAGCATCTGAAGAAGAGGACAAGTCAACGTTTCAAGTATTACCCTTCTTCAGAACTGGATGTGGGGCTGCAGATAAAGGAAGGGGAGAAGTGGGGTAGCAGAATGGTCGTGATAGGTAGACACTGGCAATAGGTATGACCTGGTTGATTGAGGGGAGGGATGAAACCAGTTGGTGGCTGGAAGGAAAAGTCAGAAGGTGGAATGGTAGGGAGGAGGTGGGGCTGGAAGGGGAGCCAGGGGATGAGTGGCAAGGTTATTTGAAATTGGAGAATTCAACATTGAGTCCTCTGGGCTGTAGGTTGCCCAGGCGGAAGATAATCTTCAAATTTGCATTCCGAGTTGATCCAAAACTGGAGGCAGCTGAGGACAGACATGTCGGAAGAGGATTGGGGGTGGGGGTGGGGGTTGGGGGAGAGAATTGAAATGCGTGGTGACTGGGAAGTTAGGCTGGCCGTTTCAGGCCAGGCGAAGATGGCGAGACGGCATACAGTCTACGTTGGGTCTCACTGACATTGAGAAGACCCATAGTTGAATGCAGCTGTGATGTCAAGGGCAGTCACTCTCTCCATAACGCTGGAGCAACAGATGTAATGCACTCGGTTGGAGGAGATGCAGGTGAAGCTCTGTCTCAGTTGGAAGGGCTGTTTAGGGCCCTGGATGGAGGTGAGGGAAGTGGTGTGTGGGCAGGTGTTGCATCTTTTACAGTTACAGGGGAAGGTACTGGGTGGGTTGGAGTGGTTGGTGGGGAGGGTGGCATGAACTAAGGAGTGGCAAAGGTAATGGTCCTTGTTAAAGGCAGAGACAGGTGGGGAGTGGAAGACGTTCTGGATGATGGGGTCTAATCCGATTTGGCGGAAGTGTTTGAGGATGATACTTTGGATGCAGAGGCTGTTGGGGTGGAAAGTGAGGACAAGGGGGACCTTGTCTTTATTATGTTTGGAGGGGAGATGGATGGTGGTTAACAGCTGAGGATCAGGGAAGGGATGAGGTGTGGTGGAGGGCTATTTGGATGACAGAGAGGGGAAAAGAGCATTGTTTGAAAAAGGCAGACATCCAGGATGCTTTGGAGTGGAACATCTCCTTGTCAGGGCAGATGTGATGGAGATGGAGAAGAGAGATGCTAACCAGATTGTGAATTCACTGTCTCAATATCTATGATTCCCACTGGGGTGTTAGTATCTGATCTGGTGTTGGGGTGTAGGAAGTGGCCTTGCCAATGCTTCCTCTGAGGCCTCGGTGCTCCCATCCACAGAGGCCCAGCAGGTGGTTCTTTTGCAGCTGGCCACCTCTCTGGAAATGCTACTGGAATGCCTGCAGAACCTGCAAGATGAAAAACGAGAGGAAGGCATGTGGCCAGTGTTTGCAAATGGTATGCAATGACAGAGTGGTAGAAGGTTTAATGGGAAAGTGGCAGTGGTATGCAAAGTAGTACTTACTCATTTGGCAGGCCATGGATGTCTCAGCATCCCCGCAAAAACAGTCTTGGTTATCCCATCAGGGTGAGGATTCTAGGGGTGAGGGCATAGATGTTGGCCATGTCCCACCACCCATATGGATTGTCTTTGCCCTTTTATAGGATATCTTCTCCCGTAATGATGAAAAAGGGGTGGAAATAAGTGCAAAGACAGTGAGTGACACAACTGTTCGCCTTTGTATGCGGAGGAAAGGCAGGGAGATGATCTGAAAGATTAAGAGGCTATGCAGGATTAGTAGTGTGGAATGCTGAGGGGTAACAGCAGTGAGGAAGTGTGCTGCAGGCTACAGTGAGGGTGAAGGGGCATGAGCCTTGGTGGGAGCTGGGTACAGTAGCAGAGATAAATTGAGTGTGAGATGGAAGGGAGGAGTGTGTGGTGGAACAGAGTTCTGCCTGGCAGAGCTGAGGCCATTGGCCTTCTTTCAGCATTGCTAGTCATTCTTCCGTACCCTGGAGATGGCAGTGACCCAGTCAGCAACCTCAGGCTAGACTGGCAGCATGGTCTCCTCTGCTGATCCTCCAGGAAAAGGACTGCTTTCCTTTGCACCATCCCATCCACCATGACATCCACATCCCTGCTGCAAAAATGCTAAACTTTCCCTTCTCCGCCATGTTGCCCATCAATGAGTAGGGCAGATTTAAAATGCCAGTGCCCATATGGGCGCACTGCACTCTTTTAAAAGATAGCTTGCAATGAAGTGATGCGGGTCATTGGGTGAAATCTGCTGAGTGGCAAGTTGTTTCAAGAAATCAGAGGTGAGAGATGCCATAGGGTAACTAATGAGGTGAGTTTGTCAAGATAGGGAGAGAAAATTTTCTAGGTATTGCAGCAAGAAATCATCCAAAAAACTTGACGTAACTTAGGCTTAGCCAAACAAAAAATAAGATTCAGAATTCTCTGTTCTTTGAAGTCCAAGCATCTCTTTCTTCCAACTCCCACCTAACAAAAGCAAGATACCTAAGTTTATTCTGGAGTTGCTGGCTTTCTTTCCGGAGTGTGTCAACCTCCAGTTGAAGCTCCACCTGTTGGTCCTGTAGCTTATTCAAGTTCTGGCGGGCCTTCCGGATTGAATCCTGCAATGTGGAATGTTCACGTTTTGACTGTTCCACTTCTTGTTTGCTTGGTCGTGAAAGGATTTCCTGTATGAGGATCAAAAAAAAATGCACAGAAAATTTAAAAATTTAAAATAATTTGAAACACATATCTGAAGGCAAAGATTCATGATTAACATTTGAAAATCCACATAGCTACTGATATTTATTTTACATACATACTTTATCTTTTTATTTTTAAAAATTTGCAGGAAGATGAGGAGGATGTGGGAATGCAAGCTTGTGGTGGGGAGATCTGGAAAAGTCAGGAATACAGAGGTCTTGCTACATTTCAAGGGTGCTTCTTATTAGCATTTGTATTTAAATTAGGTCCTCTCCTCAGCAGATTTCTGGGCAGGGAAGCTAGAGTTCAAAGAACTGCAACAAAAACAGAAATTGCTGGCGAAACTCAGCAGGTCTGGCAGCACCTGTGGGAAGAAAGCAGAGTGAATGTTTCGAGTCCACTGACTCTTCATCAGAACTCTTTTATTCAAAGAAGTGCAGCTGGCATTTTGAGGATTGGTTGCTGGGAGGGGATGTGCTCAGAATACAACAGCTGAGAGTGAAGAAGAAGCCTGACCTCCAGAGGTGAGACTATAAACAAGGAGACCACTTTTGCTCTTCCTGGGTTGGGGCAGGGTTCCTATTTTAATTTAATATCCACTCCAACCACCTCTTGCAATAATGGTGATGATGGTAGAAGAATGAAAATACCAACCCACCTCCCCACCGAAATATGCACAAAGGTTTGCCCAATGCTAAGCAGAATAAAACATGATCAGGGGCAATCTAAAGAAACAGAAATTGGTGCAAATAGATGCCAGATCAATCATTCAGGAAAAAGAATTGGTTTGAGCACAGGATTACACCCAAATGCATCCTGGATGATCTGTTACCAGTCACCTTGCAGTTCATATCATGCAGAATTCCAACAAGGAGTTATATACTTACAGTTTGATCCTTTTCCAACTGCTCCTCTTCAGCATGAAGTTGTTGCCTTTTCAGTTTCAATGACATTTCCTGAAAACAGTTCAAATCTCAAAGTTAACTACCTGGTTTTAATAATCCAAAATTTGAGGATATAGCTATATTTGTCACACAAACAGCTGTCAAGTATGGGGTAATTTGGCCACTGTTGATATTAAACATGTCTCAACAAAGCAGGACAGCAATTAACAAAGGCTCATTCTGGATGCATATATCAAGAATGGGCTTTCTCATTTGTAAGGTTTTTAAGTTTATGTACAAAAGATATTAAATTGTTATTTTAAGAAACAGGAGACGGATGTTGAAATAGTCCTCTGGCCAGCTTTAGGTGTTTAAAATTAGTCATGGAGACAAAATTAGTCATAAAACCCTAAGACATTGCAGCAAAAAGTATGCCATACAGCTCATCAAGCCTGCTCCACCATTCAATGAGATCATGGTCAAAAATCACATGATGCCAGGTTATTGTCCAACGGGTTTATTTGAAAATGTATGCTTTCTGAGCTCAGCTCCTTCCTCAGGCATAGTGTGAGAGAGAGGGTATAAGACACAGAATTTATGAGCAGAAAGGTAACAACCCTAAAACTGGCCGCCTCTTGTTGAATCTTTAATCAATTAGGAAGGAAACTATTGATCAAAATGCAAAATCTAGATTCCTTTCAAGTCACTGTCCCAAGATAATTAACGTTTTATCAATGTATACAAGAGATGACATCTCAGGTCAGATAACGCATTTTAGGGGTGAGGTCTTGCTTAGAATCTATGTTTTAAACTAGGATCACCACGATCTTCCCTAGGCCTCGAATTCTTGGCTTTAAACAACAGCTGAAGCTTAAACAGGCCATTGTTCGCTGCAAACTACCCAGCCTTCAGGACCACATTGACCACAACACCACACAACCCTGCCATGGCAACCTCTGCAAGACATGTCAGATCATCGACATGGATACAACCATCACACGTGGGAACACCACCTACCATGTACATGGCAGATACTCATGTGACTCGGCCAACGGTGTCTATCTCATACAATACAAGCAAGGATGCCCAGAGGCACGGTGTATTGGCATGACCATGCAGATGCTACGAAAATGGACAAACGGTCAATGCACAACGATCACTGAACAGGGGTGTTCCCTCCCAGGGGGGGATCATTTCAGGGGTCAAGGACATTCAGCCTTCAATCTTCGGGTAAGTGTCCTCCAAGGCAGACTTTGAGATACTCAACAAAGCAAAATCGCTGAGCAGAGGCTGGTAGCCAAGTTCCATACCTACGAGGTTGGCCTCAATCGTGATTTTAGCCTCATGTTGCGCTGCAGGTGACTCCACCACACTAGATACTCACACACACACACACACACACACACAGTCTCCCACACACACACTCTCACACTTTCTCAAGCGTGCGCACACACTCAACTCTCTCTCTCTCTCACACATACACAGACATATGAATTATTTCATCCAAGATGTTTGTGTAGTTGCAGATACATTCTGTTTTGCTCAAGAAGAACCTGACCCCGCTTAAAACTGACAGATTCTAAGCAAGTCCTCACACCTAAAATGTATCGTCTGACCTGAGATGTCATCTCTGGTATACATTGATAAAACTTAATTATCTTGGGACAATGACTTGAAAAAAATCTAGATTTTGCATTTTAATCATAGTTTCCTTCCTAACTGATTAAAGATTCAACAAGAGGCAGCCAGTTTTAGGGTTGTTATCTTTCTGCTTATAAATTCTGTGTCTTATATCCTCTCTATCACACTATACCTGAGGAAGGAGCTGAGCTCCGAAAGCTTGCATTTTCAAATAAACCGGTTGGACTATAACTTGGTGTCATGTGATTTTTGAACTTGTCCATCCCAGTCCAACACTAGCATCTCCACATCAGTGAGATCAAGGTTGATCTGATAATCCTCAACTGCACTTTCCTGTCTTTGCCACACAACCCTTGATTACTTTACTGATTAAAGATTTGTCTGTCTCAGCCTTCAATATTCTATTAATGACACAACCTTTACATACAGTGAAGAATTCCATGGATTCACTACCTTCTGTGACAAGAAATTCCTCATCAACAATTTAAATGGGTGACTTCTTACTTTAAGATTATGTCCTCTGAAGCTAGGTTCTCCCATAAAAAACAACCTCCCCGCATCTACCATTCAAGCTTCCTAAGGACATTATATGTATCAATAAGGTTATCTCTCATTCTTCTAAACTTCAATGAGTAAACAACTTAGTGTACAGGGCAACACGGTGGTTCAGTGGTTAGCACAGCTGCTTCACAGTGCCAGGGACCCACGTTCAATTTCATTCTCAGGTGACTATGTGGAGTTTACACATTCTCCCCATGTCTGTGTGGGTTTCTTCTGGGTGCTCCGGTTTTCTCCCACAGTTCAAAGATATGCAGGTTAGGTGGATTGGCCATGGGAAATGCAGGCTTACAGGAATTGGGGAGCGGAATAGGTTTGGAGGGTCAGTGTGAACCCGATGGGTCAAATGGCCTGCTCCCACAATGTAGGGATTCTATGAACCTTCTCCAGTCAGCCTCTATTGCCTAATCTTTCCCTAACCTTCCGGTGCTGCAGCCTTCTGCTCTCTTCTCCACTTAAATAATGCGTTTCCTGCCAAAGTACATAACCGCACATTTTCCCACATTATATTCCATCTGTCAAAGTTTTGCCCACTTACTTAACCTTTCTATATCCCTCTGTAAACTCTTTGTGTCATTATCATCAGTTCCACTTATTTTTGTGTCATCAGCAAACCAGGCTATCATACATTCATTTCCCTGATCCAAATCATTAATACATACCGTAAATAATTGTGGCCCAGCACTGATCTCTGTGGCACTCCAGTAGTTACAGCTTGCCATCTTGAAAATGCTCCCCTTAACCCAAATTTTTGTCTTCTATATGTTGGCAAATCCTCTATCCATGCTAATATACAACCTCCAATACTATCATTCTTATCGAGTAGCCTTAGGTGCGGTGCCTTATTGAACACATGCTGGACATCTAAATATAAGACCACAAGAAATAGGTAGGCCATTTGGCCCCTCATGCCTGCTTATTTCAATATTCCTCATGTGGTCCACTTTCCTGCATCTTCCCCAAAACCCTTGATTCCCCTTATTGATCAAGAATTTATCCATCTCAGCCTTAAATAGACACAAGGACTCAGCCTCCACAGCTCTCCGCGGCAAGGAGTTCCAAAGACTCATAACCCTCTGAGGGATGAAATTCCTCCTCATCCGAGTCTTAAACTGGTATCCCTTAATTCTGAGATTAAACACTCCAGTGCTAAAATCTCCGATGAGGGGAAACACCCTCTCAGCATTTACCCTGTCAAGCTCCTTAAGAATCCTGTATGTTTCAATGGGATCACCTCTTATTCTTCTAAACTTCAGTAAGCACAGTCCCAGCTGTTTAGCTTTTGCTCTTAAGTCAATCCCTCCATACTGGGGATCATCCTAGTGAACCTTCTCTGAACTGCCTGAAATGAAATGGTATCTTTCCTTAGATAAGGAGACCAGAACTGCTCACAGTACTCCAGGTGGGGTCTCACCAGCATCTTGTACATTTGCAGTAAGACTTCCCTACTCTTACCTTCGAACCACCTTGAAATAAAGGCCAACATTCCATTTGACTTCCTGATTTGCTGCTGCACCTCTGTGCTAGCTTTCTGTGTTTCGTGCATAAATACTCCCAAGTCACTTTGTGCTGCAGATTTCTGCAATTTTTCTCCATTTAAATAATAATCTGTCCTTTTGTTCTTCCTTCCAAAATGAACAACTTCACATTTTCTACTTCATATCATGTCTACTGGTTCTGCTCTATCCACTCTGGTTGAGACTTCCTTGAAAATTATTTCTTTATTTGCCACAAGTTTCCTCCCTTTATCTACTATGATTCCACTTGCCTCTTAAATACTTCAACCTTACAACTTATTACAGATTTTTTTTTCCCATGAATACTATTTCTGATTTTGTACTTCCTTTAAAGCTATTCATCTGACACCCTCCTGTTCTGATTAAATTGACCTGAAACATTAACATTTTCTTTCCCCACAGATATACCTAACATGCTGCGCACTTTCAGCATTTTCTGTTTTTTATTTCTGAAACAGATCCAAAATCTTTCTTACACATGAATTAGGAAAAAGGCATTCCTTTCCCTTTTTTAACAAAACCCCAGTTACTTTAAAACACGATATACTTTATGACTCGTTGATGGCTCCATGAATTTGTAATGCTTATTATGAATAACCAGTAAAGTCTTGTTTAGGTTTTTCAAACAAATGGTTGGTAACATGAATTTGAGATTAAGAATCTGCCACACCGAGTCTGAACTGGTTCTTGTTCTATGTGTTCCTTTTCTGCTTTACTCAACCCCGGGTGTCTAACTTACCTGGTTCTGCAGCAGACTGGACTTTGCTTTTAGATCTTTGATTCTCAACTCCAGCTGTTCCTCAGCCTCCTGAACTTTCAATTCCTGCAAATGTATAAATAAATCAGAAAACATGTTACTTATATAACCATACTTGAGCACAAACAGATTTTCTACAGTTTATAGGTAACTCTGTTCAGCTGTTAGTTTTGTCCATTTTTAGCACTCTACTCTAAGTAGGAAAGTTTAGGTAATGGGAACTCCTTGTTAAACAGAGGTCAGTTAAAGGCAATTATAACAGACTTTAAAGTTTAAACTCAAGGTCAATGAACAACTTTCCTATTTTGGACTTGTTTCACATCCACAACAAAGTATGGCACTTTAAGTGTAGTATAAACAACAGGGACTTTCCCATGGTAATGGAAAATGACTTTTAAGGCAAAAGGCTATGTGAATGCAAGATGCTAGGAAAGGCTTCTCAACAACTGAGGGACAGAAAAAAAAATACAAAAGAGCTTTGCAACAGGCATTTATGCAAATTTGTGGGGATGCCTTTCAGAGAAACAGACCAATGCAATAATTAAGGATAATACAGTGTGGAGCTGGAGGAACACGGGGGGCCAGGCAGCATCAGAGCAGGAGGAAAGTTGACGTTTTGGGTTGGGACCCTTCTTCAGAAATAGGGAGGGGGAAGGGATCTCAGAAATAAATAGAGAGGAGGGGTGGGGCTGGGGAAGGTAGGTGGGATGGCGATAGGTGAGTGCAGGTAGGCAGTGGTGGGGAATGGTCACTGAGGTGGGAGGGGCAGATAGGTGGGAGAGAAGATGGACAGATTGAGTCAGGTCAAGGAGACGGGGATGAGAGGGAGGGTTGGTCATGGGATGGAACAGAATTTTGAAGTTCAAGTTTCTTGAGTGCTGTTGGATCTACACTCATCCAGGCAAGCAGCAAGCATTCCTTCACACTTGTGACTTGTGTCTGGCAGACAATTTTGGGGAGACAGAAAGTGAGTTGCGCATTGCATGTCTCTGACCTGCTGCTGTAGCCACAGAATTGATGTGGCTGTGCCAGCTCAGCTTCTGGTCAATGATCCACAGCATCTGCAGTACTTTTGTGATGATACTAAGGCTTTAAGAGGTGCATTCTGTCCTGTTTTGTTTTAATGAAGAAAAGTTGAGATAGAGGTGATGAGTGGTCTGCTCAAAGCCAATAAAGTGAACAGCCAGTCCTGATGAAGTGTCCCAACCTGAAACAAGAACTTTCCTGTTCCTCTGATGCTGCCGGACCTGCTGTGTTCCTCCAGCTCCACACTGTATTGACTGTGAGGAGTTGGGTTTCATTTTAACAATACAAGCAGTCTGAATGCGAGGTATCAAACTTCCAAAGTGCCAAGATTTTCAGTTTTAGCCTTCTGCAGTTGCTGGGATGTTGAAGCTGGATGTGGAAGCTCTTATTCCTCTCTCTGTTACAGCTAAAATCTGGATTTCTCTTCTTGCTGCTAGAATTGCATGTGACACAATCTATTTTACTAAATTTGTCTTTGCCAAAGGCGCGTTTATGGGATGTTACTACATTGGAACAGTTATTTAGCAGTAGCTGATATAAATATTATTTTATTAAGGATTTCAATAAAGTTACAGTCAAGCCAATTCTTTGATTTTAATTTTATCTGTATTTTAACTGCAGTGTAAGAATGAAGTGTTTTGCTTACAATTGAATAGTTTGACAAATCGAATTGCATCTGGAATGTAATGCCTGATGCTTACCTTTAAAATAAGAAACAGTTAGAGTCTAAGCTATTTTCTTTATTTTGAGGGGGTTTGGTCCAGTCCGTAACATTTTGCTTTTAAATATTTTAAGCAGTTATTTTCAACTGGAAGGCACAAAAGCTAAATGGGTCTGAGGAGTTGGGACAACAAAAAAAAGTTCCCAACTAAAATAATTAATCTGTGGACCAAAGGGGACTAATTTCTTTTTGAAGTGGGTCACAATCGTACCTGTCTTTAAGGAAGCCCCCCAGGATCCCAGATGACTGCACAGTGGACAGTTTCTTAGAACTTTGGGTGAAGAGGTAATTTGAATACTTAGTCAGTATTAATAAATCCTACATATATTATCGTCCATTTTGCTCTAAAATTATTGGTTGAGAAATCATGCATGGCCACAGCTGCAGTGGTGGACCCACTTCTCATAACCGTTGTCTCCAGAACTCCATGTCCTGGCAGAGCATTGGAAAATTTAGATTCTTAGAGTTTACTAATATCGCAATGACAGTGTTAACAAGGTTGGAATATTTATATATATTCCAAAGGAATAACCTTCTTTCTGTTAAGACAGTATCGCCAGGTCATGTTCAGACTTGCCAATCAATTACTTAAAAAGTGCTTTAAAAAAATGAATTTACTTGATGCAAAGTGCAAGGAATTATTCCAGCTTATCTGGCGATGTTGCATGGGTCAATGTTCACATGGTTCCTGAAGTAGGTAATGGTATTTTGTAGAGTTAATATGGGGAATGTACTGACCTCCAGAAGAACCTCCAAATTGCCTAGAACATATCTGCATGTTTTGCACCTTACAATACAAAGCTATTTGGCAAACCACTGCACACAGCTGTTATTTCACTTACTTTCTCTCTGTTAAATTTTCTTAACTCATCAAGACGCTGTTCCAACTCCTGACGAAGCTCCAATAGTTCACGCTCATGGAGCTGAGTTAATCGTTCATGTTCTTCCTGTAATTGCTTCAGGAGTCGAGCTCTCTGCTGCCTCTCCTAACAATGGTAATCAATGAGTACATTGATCAGGACAAGCAAAGTGATGGATGTGGAAATATGGTGCCTGAATGCAAGAGTCTTTTTAATTTCATATTTATGTAGAGAAATAAAACGGATTGAAGTACAACTAAATGGGATCATGGCGAATTAAATCAAATCTGACAGCTATTTTTTGGTCGCTTGCAGCATCTTTAATCAGGCAACTGTTTATTGTGAACAATGGTTTACTCCCTTCCTGCCAGTAACGTAAGAATTTGTGAACGAGATAAGGTCAACTTTATGATCCCAACATCTGTATGAAGCCTTATTCTTAACCGAAGTAGCTAACCTTCAAATCTTCAAAATCTTAAACATTTTACAAATGGATTACGGTAGCATGGGTTTAGTAGCATGCTGGAAGCTGAAATTCTGCTTAGCTAATACACTCACCTTTTCTTCATACTCCTCCCTAATTCTCTCCATAGTTTGTTCATGTTCTTGTTTAATTTGTTCTATTTTCCACTCATGATCTTTCTCGACTTCCGCTTGTTTGTCTTGTAGTAAATCACTCAACTATAGAAAGTTTCACAGGTATGTATGGTATTAAATGGTGTTCCGATGTCAGGATTAATACAGTTCTTTTAGGTAATAAAATCAATGTAAAACTATAGAACAAAACGCATCAATATAGAAGCATGTTTTGATCGGTTATCAGAAAAGTCTAAATGTTAGACAAGGATAAATATGCATTTAATAACACCTTCTAATGTGGTGATTGGGCAAAGGAGTGGATAGTGAGATACTAATTTACATGTCCAAAATTAGTTTTGCAGAAGAGTCTTGGATCAGAGCAGTCGAGTGCTTTGCCTGATGTTCAAAAGACCTTCCTTCCAACTCCATATGGAAGTGCCTGGGGCATACTTGCAGCTTGATGCCATTCTAAAACAGGACAACATCACTGGCCAGAACCTTTGGGCTGCAATCTTAATACGTCTCAGCTGGAATACATGGAGTACTTGGACAAGCATATTCATTTTCGTAGCACTTGTCTTGTCACATAAATTCTTCCAGTACAGAATGTGACCCATCGTGCTGCACTAGCATTTTGAAGGAGCTGCCTAATCTAGTCCCACAGCCCAGACATTTCTCATATCTAGATGTGATATTGGTCAAACTACCCTATCTGATTTCGCTGTTTCGTGGTAGTATCTGGGACCATGGAAGGAAGTGGTATACATGTCCTCTGTAAGGGATATAATTATGGAAATTAGTTATGTCATTATAGAGGTAGCTCAACTATTTATAGCAGACGAATTTCTGGTTACATCCCAGCAGCCCCTCAAGTAAGTGCTAGGAGGATGCATTTCTCTAGATAGTAGCAGCCACGAGGATTGTTGTTGAACAGGTCGAATGTCCTTGTTGTTTGTGGTTTCATGTCAACTTTACAACAGCAACATGACTTGGCTTTTTTGGAATCAGTTACTTGCAAGGCCATGTGTAAACCTGGAAAGACTGATCAGAGTAGACACAGTGCCTAGTCTGCTCAGAACAGTCCAACTTGAAGAAGGCAATTACGGCAGGTCTTAGGCCTGTAAGGAACCCAAGATCCATTTAAGTGCCTTTCAGGGATACCTAAAAAAAGATTACCAGACCCTTTCTTCATGTGCCATTGAGTATTTATGAGTAGATTTTACATCTGAAAGTTGTTTATTTTCTACTGCATGGTCTCCATTCGACTAGTTGAGCTTGTATCCTACAGTTGTCCAAAATCAACGATGCTTTGAGAAGGGCGATGTGAAATAGGGTGAAGTGGTTGTATGTTTTACTTTGCAGTTTCTTCAGCCTGTACTCTGTGGATGTCTGGCATTTCACTAGGAGTTCTAAGGCCAGCACAAATAGGAGATGAGGAAGTGTCTGTTTGGTTCCATAATGGAAGAAAGATACAGAGACACAAAGCCATTCATGCATCCAGTGTGAGGGTGAATGTAGCATTCAATTCACTTCTTGAAAATACTTTAGACCATTGCCTTGAACATCACAAGAAAGAAAATCATCCATAAAATGCATTTTCAGTGCTTTGAAAGAAGGGAAAGGTGGGTACTCTTACTGCAGTGAATCTCACAGAATGGCCACTACACGAGACAGGTCTATATAAAGGACATGGCCCAATTCTTATTAATTAATCTTTAAAGTCCAGCATGATATAAATGAATTTGCAGCGACAGAACACTCTTACTTGAATTCCACAGCGTGTAATGATCAATTTGTTATTATGCAATGGCAGTCAATTGTCCATAAATTACATAACTGCACAAAGTCTGCATAATTCTGTGCAGTCTTTTAAAGGAGTATTTTGAAGGACATTTTTATACTTAAATTCATGAAAAAATATCAAAATCAGGGAAGACATTATCAAACTGCACAATTCCCTTCTATAACAGTTTGGAGAACGCATGGCTGCTTACCTCTCGCTCAAAGTCTGCAATTTGTTGCACTTTCTTCTGTGCTTTCTGAATGTCTCGCTGTAGCTGGGCTTCCTCATTATTGTGGGCATCAGCCGTTTGTTTCCGAAGATTAGAAAGTAGCTTGGAACAGAAGCAGAAGTGAATAGTTCCAAGACCATTAGCTTAAACACTCAATTAATGATGCACCTGATTAGCTTTTTTAAAATCAATTTTTTAAGATGGTCGTGTGTTGATCGTCAGGCAGTGAACAATATTCAAGTAGAGCTCTATGACCAATGAACGTCCTTCTTTGGAGGGTCAACAATGCATTTTCATTTTACTGAATGCAATTGCATATGTGGGAGGTCATCTCCTCCATATTGATAACATGTTACTGGTCACCTGACACTTAGCAAATTATGAATGCAGAAGTGTCACCACATCTCCTCCAGTGATACTTTGTTCTGTACATATTAAATCTGCTCTCTTACCATGTTCTAACAATTCTCTCAGCGTATCAAGATTTGACAGTGTATGACGATGACATAAATAGTTTGGAGGAGGAAATTAGTTCAAAATAAAGGGAAGGTGAATTAACATTACTGGCAATGGAAGGTGACTTTAATAATACATGCTAACAGTTAATGCCAGACCAACTTTGTTATATCATGACCATCACCAAATCTTCCAAAGTAATTTGCTTGAACTCATCAAATCTCTCAGTGAAATCAAAAACATTTGGTCATATCACAGAAAGACCAAAAGGAACAACTTTTCAAAAGTTAATGACAATTTATTTATCGTCTAAACCTAGCTCTTTAAATAATTTCTGTTGCATCAGTCAGCTCTAAAATACACCAGACATCAATTGTTCACTGCACATCTTTTATATAGAATCAACAGAATTTACAGCATAGAAACAGGACGTTCTGCTCAACTGGTCTACACTACACTTTAAGATGCATACAAGCCTCAGCTAACTTTAATGCATCATTTCACACAGCCCTCATATTCTGACATTATCTTCTATCTCTTGTGTGCAGCAAACTTTCCCTTGATGTGTTAATACTGTCTGCTCCATGTAGTAATGACTGTCACCTTCCTTCCACGGCTTAAATTACTTCCTCCTAAATTCTTAATTTGATCTGTTGTATTGGAAAGAGGCCATTCAGCCCATCATGTCTATACCAGCTCTCTACAAAAGCAATTGAACTAGTCCCAAACCCCTGCAAATTTTCATCTTTATAAAATTATCCAATTTTTGAGAGCCATGATAGAATGTGTTGGAGGCAGATTCAAAGGCAGGGCACTGCAGATCCAAATTACTCACTGCATCAAAACGTTTTTTCCTCATGTCACCTTTGGATCTTCTTCCTTTCACATTCGCATTTTCTGGTTCTTAATTCTACTGTCAATGGCAAGTTACTTCAAATGTATTCTGTCCAGACCTCTTAGGATGTGAATATTTCCATCAAAATCTCCCTAACACCTTCACTAAGGACAACACCACCAGCTTCTCTAACCTAATTTTGTAATTGAAATCATTCGTCTCTGAAATTACATTCGTGAGGATGCAAAATGGATTTACTAATACCTTCACATGCTACATAAAGTGTGGTGCCCAGAATTACACAATACTCCAGCTGAGGCCAAACTAGTGTTAGCTAAAGTTTTATCAGAACTTCCTTGCCTTTGTACTCTATGCCTATATTTGTAATCTCCAGGATCCTATATATTTTACCGACTGCTTTCTCAACCTGCCTTGTCAACTTTAATGAGTTGTGCACATATGACCTAGATCTTTCAACTCCTTCTCAGTCTTTCTAACAAAATGTATCGCTACATAGCTCAAGCTCTATTACAGTTAATCCAATTTGCTATTTAGCTACTTAATTTGAAAGCTTGTCTTCCTGTAATTTGGAGGAATGCATCATAATTAATTGCACCCTGCAAGTTTGGTATCATTTCACACTTTTGAAGCAACACCTACAATCGTGAATCTTATTCATTTATATATAGTAAGAACAACATGAATTTATACAGTCCCTTTCATAACTTCAGGGCAATAGTGGTACATCTCACCAGAATAGCATGCTGGAAGTCAAGCTCTGCTATTCCCGGAGTCATCACAAAAGTTAAAATTTTATAAAAGCCACAAAATCCGTAATTTACCTAACAGACCCGGATTACAAGAAAACACACATCATGTTACTGCACTTAACAAGAATGACTATTTATCACACATACAGATAAAGAACTATGAACTGTTGATATATAACTCAATTAGTTAAAACTCTAACCCTCTTCCAAACCCATACTTTCCCCTCAACACCCCCCCTCACTCTCACTCACACACACAATATGTAGACACAAAACAGTTGTGTTATGGGCGGAGAGGACAAATAACTAGACAAGCAGTTACATGATCCAAATCCTCAGGATTCAATGGAGGGGATCTTTCCGTTTCCCAAATCCTTTAGTTCTTTCATTTCTTCACAGGAGGCATAAAGCAATTAGTTCACAAACTATAAAGTTTCTGACTTATTGATTAAAAGCAACAGTAATAACTGGTAGGAGTAAATAAACTGGTTTTCTTCAGGCTTATTTTACTGGAGTGACACATCAGCTGCCATTTCAGTAGCCTGAAGGCTTCTGCCATAATTGTTCATATCCACAAGTTTTTCAGTTATGAAGGAGCCAACTAAATCGTCATTGTGGGGCCTTTGGTATCCGCAACTGGTCACAACTCCACAAATCAATCAGCAACCTGCTGCCAGCTGAATCCTACTTTGTATACACCCCCCAGCTCATCTTCCCACACTGCTTGAACAAAGCAGCAATGCAAACACCATACATTATGAAGTTCAGTAACTTCTTTTTTAAAGTACAGCAATTTTTTTCCTCAGTCCTTTATTGCAAACAGTCCTTTTCTCAATTCAGTCCAGAATCAAAAGTGAAGTAAAATATAAAGATACAGTCTTAATTTCCGGAAGACTTTTGATAAGGTGGCGGATAAAATGTTACTGCACAAGATAGGAGCTCACAGTATTGGGGATAATATATGAGACTGGATTGAGGACTGGTAATGAACAGACGGCAGAGTTGGAATTAATGGGACTTTTCAGCTTGGAAAAATGTATATAGTGGAGTGTCACAAGGATCAGTCCTAGGATCTCAATTACATACTATCTAACTTGATAATCTGGGGAAAGAGCCAGGGTGTAATATTTCTAAATTTGCTGATGAAATAAAATTAGGTTGAAGGGCATGTTGGGATAAGGACATAAGAAATCTGAAAGTGGATATAGGACAGGTTGAGGGAGTGGCTAAAACTTAGCTGATGGAATTTAATGGAGGAAAGTGTGAAGTTACGCACTTTGATAGAAAGAATCAAAAGGCAGACTATCATTTAAGTGGAGAGAGACTCCAAAAAGCACAGGGATCTGGGTGTTCTTGTGTAAGTAAGTAATTAAGGCGGAGAATGGAATCTTGGCCTTCATTGCTAGGGCCCTGGAATTTAAAATAGGAAAGGCATTTTGTTTTATTCATCCATTAGGTATGGGCATCTCCAGCTGTGTCAGGATTCCTTGTCTATCCCTAAATGCCCCTGATCTCAGTGACTTGCTAGGGCCACTTCAAAGGGCAGTTAAGCGTCAACTACATTACTGTGTCTCTGGAGTAACATGTAGGCCAGACGATATTACTGAACCAAATGGGCTTTTACAATAATCAACAGCCGTTATGTGTTACTGATAGGCTAGCTTTTAATTAACCAGACAGTTACTAGCCCGTGCTAGTACTATGCCAGTGTCTCCCCCATTACTACTGTACAGGGTGTTAGCGAGGCTGCACTTGGAGTACTGTGTACAGTTTTGGTCCTGGCACTGACGAAAGGGTATATTGCTATAGCAGACAATTCAAAAGAGATTCACTGGGCTGATTCCTGGGTTGAAGGGGTTGACTTCTGAAGAATGGTTAACCAGGTTAGACCCACAATCATTGGAGTTTAGGAGGGGGTTAGGTAATGTTATTGAAAGATACGAGATTCCAAGAGGGCTTGACTGTAGATGTTATGAGATGCTTCCACTGGTGGTGGCAATCTCAAACTATGGAACATCGTTACAGAATAAGGAGATACTCATGTAAAGCTGAGATGCGAGGAGTTTCTTCTCCAAGAGGGTAATGAATGTCTGGAATTCTCTATTCAGAGTTGTGGAGGCAAGGTCACTAAAAGTACTTCAAAAGGAGGTAGATAGATTTTTGAAATACTGACGAGTTGAAGGTTATAAGGAGCTGTCTCAAAAGAGGAGTTGAGGCCTGGGACAGAAGCAGCATGATCTTATGGAACGGCAGGCCAGGCTTGAGGGGCTGAATGGTCTAGTTTTGCTCCTCGTTTTTATGACCTTCTGTTTACAGGAGGCACTATGACAGCCGATTTATACATAGCAAGTCCCCACAAATAGCTGTGTGATAATGACCAGCTTTAGATGCGGGCCTCAGTTTAACATCCTATCCAAAAGTCCGTACCTCTGACAATGCAGCACTCCCTCAGTACTGCACTGAAGCACTTGTCCAGATTTTGTGCTCAAGTACCTACAGTGGGACCTGAACCCACAAACTACTTGGAGATAAGATCTATAATTTAAGCACAGTTGAGAAGTTGTACCATTTATGTAAAAACATTTCTGAAGATGAGTCATATTAGAGTTGAAACATTAACTCTGTTTCTCTCTCTGCCACATCGGCTGAGTTTCTCCAGCATTTTCTGTTTTTATTGGTGTTGTATATAGAAATAATTTAGAATCCGAAATGATACAGGAATCAGTATGAGCACAGTGCACAGCGCAATGGGCATTCATTGCTGCACTGTGACTTCATCTGTGGATTTCTGAGAATGTGCTGAGCAGAGGGGTTGTCTGCATCCCATTGAAGTGGGGATAGAGTGAGGGTTAATGTAAAACATTCTGTTACCCTAGACAAATTTGATGCACATCCACCCACCCATTCTAAAATAAGCGCAGGAATAGGATTGACTATTTTGCATCAGATTGACCGGTGGCGCAAGAGAACCAAAAATGTAGGCCTTTAGCAAAGTGGTACAAACAGAAGGGAGTACAAAGAAAAACTCATCATTAAGAAGTGCAGAAACACTCAAGTTTAGAGAACTCATTTTGTAAAGTCTGTCATGTACACTGAGCACTAACAGCTCATGTGCTCATTATTTTTGATGCACCATAGGGTGTCCCTCCATCTGGTCACCCTGGGGTTTACTTCTTCTGGCATTTGAAGTAAGCAGAACTTGGACCAGGATAAAGTAAAGAATCATGTGGAGAGATTCCTCTTCGCCTGTGTAAAACAGGTTTTCAGATTCAATTAACCCCCCCACCATCAGCTGCCCTAGCATTGTGAATTGGATTCTCTCTACAGAAAGAAATATATCCTTTCTCTTTTATAACTCACTTCTTGATGTTTTTCCTCAGTTGTTGTTTTCAGTCCTTGAAGGTCACTACTGTGTTTGTTCTTTAGCTCCTCCAGTTCCTGCAGGGGAAATAAAGTTATAAAATATAAACAAGTAGCTGAAAAGAAAATTCCACCCAGTGTGTGTACATAAACAGTTATAAAACACTGCACAAAGTATGCCTTAAGTGAATATGCCGCAATTGTGGCTATGCTACTACTGTTGACTTGAATAGTGATCATGCACACCCATAGATTATAAGTGTGAATTGTCTATAGAATTTCAAACTTTTAATTCTAACATGTACCTTCTTTTAAACAATGGACATACAGCCAAAAGATGACTGCAGATGGAAATTCAGTGGTTGTTTGGAGAGAAATTCTGGAATGTCACATCTGTACAGAGCTAGGAAAGCTTCAATTAGAACATCAAGAAAGGAATAGAAATGTCCTGGGATCTGGTTGCAACAACAAATATTGAGAAAGATCAGTTGACAGTATCTAATTGGAATGGAACCCTGGAATGAACATTTGAATAAGGCTTGGATTTTGGAGAAAGCCAAATACTTACAATTTTTTCATTCATTCATGCAGACAGGGCATCACTGGCTAGGCCAGCATTTATTGTCCATCCCTAATTGCCCCAAGTGCAGCTAAGAGGCGACCACATTGCAGTGGGTCTGAGGTTACATGTAGTAAAGACAAGGTAAAGGACATTAGTGAATGAGATGGGTTTTCCAAACAATCAACAATGGATTCATGGTCATCATTAGACCCTTAATTCCAGATTTTTATTGAACTCAAATTTCACCATCTGTCATGGCAAGATTCAAACCTGAGTTCCCAGAAAATTCCTTGCATCTCTGGATTAACAGTCCAGCGATAATACCACTAGGCCATTGCCTCCCCTATTTCAATACTTAATCTTTGTGCATCAGTGCATTAAAACATGAGAGTAATGTACATTAGCAGCAAATCTTTTCCATATCCACGTGCTGTAACCAATCCATAACTGGCAGCTTGCAGCACAGTCTGTAACTTTTACCTGTAGATTGAAATGTTCAATCATTTTTCATCAGCTTTCACTAAAGTAGTACAACTCTGGTCGAAATTGCCATGAGTGTTCTACTAAACAAACCCATGCTCTAGTTGCAGAAGAATACTTCTGAGGCATCGCATTATCCAACTGAAATAAGATAAAGTCATCGCAAGCTCCAATCAAGAGGGATATAAACACCAAAGGACACAAAGGAAAGCAGCTTCACAGATGCAACCTTGGATATTTTGATGTATTTTCCCAATTAACTTTGAGCATTATTCCACTCTCAAAGCAACAACCTCCATCAGCTTGAAGTTCATGTGAAAATAGCGTGATTTGTAAGGAACATTTTTTAATTATTTTGCAAAAATTTGTTCATAAAACTATAACCACAATCACTACTTACCAACCAGAATGAATGACCTTAATAGTCAAAACTTTGGTAAATAGTGTCATCATTTAAATTATTTTAGAAGAACCTGTTTTTCCTTCTAGGATGGCAGTCTTTCTTAAAAATTAGCAAAGGCTACCCAATACAGTGGTGATCAGAATTCAGGCACACAGTTAGTGATATATAAAAACCGAAAGAACTGCAGATGCTGTAAATCAAACTAAAACAGAAATTGCTGGAAAAGCTCAGCAGGTCTGGCAGCATCTGTGGAGAGAACTGTTCTGAAGAAGGATCACTCGACCCGGATCACTCGACCCGAAACACTAACTCTGATTTCTCTCCACAGATGCTGCCAGACCTGCTGAGCTTTTCTAGTGTTACCATATGTTCAGCAGTATTGATTTTTTTGTTAGCATCAATGATGGTCAAGATCAATCCAGCAAATTTGGACCCAAGAATTGAGGCCTACCTCCTTCATTTCTTTTTCTAACTGTACCCTCAGCTCATTAACAGCTTTCTCTTTCTTCTCTTCCAGAACAATCTTCTCTTTATTCACAATTTCATCTGTCTCCTTCTTCATCTGCTCCAGAACAGCGCATTTTTTGGCCTCCAAATTTTGCTGCTCAGTAGCCTGCTGTGATCTTAGTTCATCTCTAAGTTGCTGCAGTGTAGCCTCATTCTCTGCCCTGGAACATTGAAAATAAATGATACATAAACTAACATTCTAACCAGCATTAAATCAAATCTCTGATGACCACCACGATTATTATCTATCAACTGCTCACTTGCCATTTTGATCAGCATATCTTTGCGTCAATGATTAGTCAGTTTTCCTTACCTACATCCTCCAACTATGGAATATCGCAGATGGGCAAAAAAGCAGTTGAATAAATACTCAATATTTTACATTTATTTTTCATTACTCGACAAGAAGCACGTGCCCTTTTCAAATTAAAGCCTGAATGGAATATTATTACTTTCCTCATAAAACTTTTCATATTTAATGCAAGTTTGCATCTTTTGCAATGAGTAACTACTAAATTAGATTATTTTTTCTTATCATTATAACAGGAACTTATTAATTGCAATACCCTTGAAGTGAGTACAAATCCCTTTCATCCATTTTCTCTTGTTAAGCTGATTCTTTTAGAAGTACACTGATGACTTCAATGTGCAGCTGAAGAAAAAATAACTTGCAATTAAAGCACCTTTAACACTAGGCTTGCAGTGGCCAATAAAAAGATGAAAACTGACCTACTTAGTTTTTCTTAAATTGGACCTATTGTATGTAACCAAGATGCTGCACAGATCTAGCCTACACTCTTCTCTGTGTTGGTTGCCACACCGACTTCTGCTTTTCCAAATTTATACTGAACACTTGAAGTGGTTTACCTGCAAGTCTGCAGGCGTCAATACAACAAACGGGTGCCAGAATGCCAGTACATAGCCTACCCAAGTACAATGGCAAAGACTAACAGGCAAACTTTTTCTCCAGCTGGAGGAGTACACTCACCTTGTTTGATTCTACCTAACTGTAGCCAGAAAATCTGAAATGCCTTATCTTTCCATCCCAGTACTGCTAGCTATGGAATCCCCCAGGGATGTTATTCTTGACTTTCTTCTATTTCTCATATAACTGCTGCTGTTCAGCAACATCATCAGAAAACACATTGTCAGTTTAAATACATCACTGATGACACTCAGATGGACCTCTCCACTACCTCTTTTCACTGTCTCTGAGCTGATAAATTTGTTGTCTGACATCCAATACTGAAAGAACAGAAATTTCCTCCACTAAATATTGCAAAGGCCAAGAGCATTGTATTCATTCTGTACCACAAACTCTGCTCTTCAGCCAATAATGCCATTGAACTTCTTGACAACTGTCTGAGGCTAAACCAGGCTGCTTAAACCATTAAAATAATGTATCCATGTGGGGGTCGGTTAGCTCAGTTGGCTGGAGAGCTGGTTTGTGATGCAGAGCAATGCCAACAGAATGGGGTTAATTCCCACACCAGCTGAGGTTACTATGAAGGACTCTCGTTCTGAGCCTCTCCCCTTACTTGAGGCATAGTGACACTCAGGCTAAATCACCACCAATCGTCTCTCTTCAACAAGAGAACACCCCTATGGTCTGGTGAGAGTATGGCAACTTTTCCTTTACATCTGCATACATCACTAAGACTGCTAAATCCTTGTCCATGCCTGTCCAACACAGTCCTGGTTTTCCACTTTCAATTGTTCATGAGTTTTAGGTCATCTCAACTTGCACCAAGTTCCACTCACTCATTACTTGAACGGCTGTACTCCATTTGGTGCAGGGGCACTCAGTGCTATTAGTGAGGGAACTCCAGGATTTTGACTCAGTGGTATTGAAGAAACAGTGATATATTTCCAGCAGAACTTAGTATGTTCACATACATCTGCTGCCCGTGTCCTTCTTGATATTAGTGATCGTGTGTTCGGAAAGTGCCGTCGAAGGAGCCTTGGTGAATTTCTGCAGTGTTTCTTGTAAATGTTATATACTGTTGTTATTGTGCGTGGTGTGAGGGAAATGACTCCTTGAGGATGCATGCTGCTTTGTTCTTGGTGGCATAAATCTTCTTGACTAATGTTGCAGCTGCATTCACTCACCCAGGTGTATTCCATCACACCGAAACAACTGCGATGAAATACAAAAACAGAAGTTGCTGGAAAAGCTCAGCAGGCCTGGCGACATCTGTGAAGAAAAATCAGAGCTAACGTTTTGGGTCCGGTGACCCTTCCTCAGTTCTGAGGAAGGGTCACCGGACCTGAAACGTTAACTCTGATTTTTCTTCACAGATGTCACCAGGCCTGCTGAGCTTTTCCAGCAACTTCTGTTTTTGTATTTCATCACAGCCCTGACTTGTGCCTTGCAGATAGACGACAAGCCCTGGGAAGTCAGGAGTTGACTTACCCACTATAAGATTCATAGCTTCTGACCTACTTTTGTAGCCACAGTGTTTATGTAGTTAGTCAATTTCTGGTCAATGATAACCCCCAGGACATTGATAGTGAGGGATTCAGTGATGGTAATACCACTGCATGTCAAGAAGCAATGGTTAGATTCTATATCGTTGGACAAGGTCATTGCCTAGCACCTGTGTGGTACGAATGTTACCTGTCACTTGTCAACTCAAAGTATCACCCAAGTCTGGCTGCATTTGGAATTTTGATGAGACTTATTCGGTGCTGAACACTGTACAGTCAAAAGTGAACATCCCAACTTCTGACCTTAATGATGGAGGGAGGATCATTGATGAAGCAGCCGCCTGGGACATTGCCCTGAGGAACTCCTGCAGTGATGTCCTGAAGCCGAGATGACTGACCTCAGATGATCACAGACATTTTTCTTTGTAAAGGGTATGACTCCAACCAGTAGAGGCTTATTTCCCTGATTCCCACCCATGTTTTCCAATTCTTCACTACAGTCATTCCTCCTCATATCTTAAAACTCTTTCAGCCTTTCAAGACTTATACCTGCATTCATCCAAGTCCAACATCTTTGACATCCTGATTTTAATCACTTTACCACCTGTCAAGATGCAAGCTCTGGACTCTCTCCCTAATATTATCTCCTAGTCCTTCAGGTACCATAGCCTACAAGTGTTGGTGGCCATGGTTTGGTCCACAATTACTCTTTGCAAAAGTACTGCAGTGGTTTGCTGTTGCCTTCTGCATATGGCCGACCAGGGAACTCTCTCACTCTTACAACCTGCCATCAGGTCTAATAAAAGGATTTACAAAAGATAATGAACTTGTTTGGCCACATTATGAACACATTTCCCACAGCCTTCAAATCCTTAAGTGCATCTTGAAGTTGGAGTTCTTGGCCAACAGGTAAGGACACCACCAAGATCTCCTCTATATGCCTCTTTCTCTCCCTTTATGGCACTGTAAAACCTGCCTCTTTGACTAAGCTTTTATCTTCCATTTATCTACTATTTCTTTATATGGCTTAATGTCAAACATTGTTTTACAATGTGCCTGTAAAGTGCTTTGGGACATGTTATTAGGTTAAAGGTGCGATATAAATACAAAGTATTGTGAAATAATTTTAAAATGAATCAAACATGCAGGCTTAGTAACTGAGAATAAAGCAGCTCAATACAAAGAACAAAGAACAAAGAAAATTACAGCACAGGAACAGGCCCTTCGGCCCTCCAAGCCTGCGCCGATCCAGATCCTCTATCTAAACCTGTCACCCATTTTCCAAGGAAATGAGTCATACAAGCCCAGCACGATGCAGCAATTCTCGACAGGCCAACAAGAACCTCGTTTGTATCGTGGCAGCAGTCTGGGGACCAAATAAAAAGTGAATTTCTGTTATCAATAATTTTTTGGATATTTATATTTTCCGGGTATATCAAACGTGCGTGAACTACACGCCATCACATCAAGGGTACCGAAGTAAAGAAAAAGCTCTGCCATTTTCTTAAGAAACCACAGAGACACAATACAAGGCTAGTGCAAATAAAGGAATACCAAATACAGAAAACAGTTATTTTAAAAATAAAGTCAGGCTTCAAATCCTCAATTTAATAGGGAAAATTAATTCAGGATTCAAGAGCACTGCAAACAGTTCAACTTCACACTTTTGCTGGTCTGTTACCTAATTTCCTTTTCTGTTGCTTCAACTTCATTTTTAATCTGGGTTTGCAGTTTGAGCAGTGAGTCGCTCTGCTCTTGTTTCAGTCGTGCCTCCTTTTCCTCTTGTTCAATCCTGAGCTGCTCTTTCAGTAACCTTGCAGATTGAAAATAAAAACTTGTGAGATTTCATACATGGTTAACATCTAGTAATGTGGAATGGAATTCCTTTGGTAAAATGACAGTAACTCAGATACATTAGATAATTTGAGGTTTAGTTGCTGACTTCTGCTAGGCCACTATTTGGAGTTGGACTCAATGCTGTTGGGGTACAGACAGGGGGATAAAATCAGCCAGGATTCCAGTAATTTCTGCTTGGAAGTTCATACAGATGGATACTGACTTACACCAAGGTTTAGCTGGACAGTCACAATCTTCATGGTCAAATATCATGGGCAATACTCTTTTGAATAAGTGTACAGGAACCACCTTAGTGGGTGAATTTTGAAGGCCACCCAAGATCCCTGGAAATAATAGACTCATATAGAATAGCAATTTTGAAACACAACAATATATCCAAATACTGCAGTTTAAAACTATATTACTAAGTCATTTTAAAATGTTAAAGTGGCAGAGTGGGACACAAAGTCTAAAACTAAAGGCTCTCAATAGTCTTGCATAAAGACATGGCTGTAACTAAAGTCACAATATGTTATAAATCATATATATCCAAAATGATTCTCCTAATCAATTGAGCAGATGGTAACACTCATTTTTTTGCTTTACTCAAAAATATATTGCTTGATGCCAAACACTAAAGCAAGATTAACTTTATATGTCTACTGGAACCACTCTGTACACAACTGGGACAACTTTAACAAAATCCAAGAAACTGTGAGAAAGGCACTACACTGGGTTTGCCACACATTGACATCAGCAGAGAGTGACATTGGGCAGATTAAAACAATTGGAATTATTCACATCTTATTCTGGGCGCTTCTTGGCTGGGAGGTTATTTTAAAATTATCCCAAAACTACAGGGAGTCCCCACGTTGGTTCTATTCTTGAGTCCATTTGCAAGTCGATTTGTATGCAAGTTGGAACACAAAGCAGGACAATATAAAGTAGCCATTTGGAAATATAGGAAATGTTCATATGTTGAATCTATAAAACTACATTCCTATATGGGATCATTCTGCTAAGTACAAGCATTCACAAGTTGAACCTTCATAAATTGGGGACACCTGTAGTTGGTTTAAAATACAACAAATATTATGTACAGAAATACCGTAATAATTTACATAGCAACATCTTGCAAACCACAATGGGATGAATAACAGATAATACGTATTTTGGTTATAGCGATTAATGGAGAAATAGTGGCAAGCACATGGAGTATATTCTGCCCCATTCAAGTAGTGCCATGAGATTTTAAATGACCACCTGAACAGGCAGATCCAGTGGCTTTTATTTAACATCGTTTCTGAAGGATAGCACTCCCAATAATGCAGCACTCCAACAGTACAGGGCTAAAGTGTTAGCTTATTTTATGAGCTTAAACTTCTGGTAGGTCATGGGAAAAGATTATTGCCTGTTTATCAGAATATGATACCTGATTTTGTTTTCTTTGTCTCGATAAATTTGCTGTGTTTCCTCTTCCTCCTCCTGCCTGAGTTTATCTCGAAGTTTACAAAGCAGCTCCTTTCTCTCATGGAGAATCTGTCTTTCTTCTTTTGCTAGCTCCTCACTCAATTTGCCTCGGAGCACCTCCACGAATCTCTGTGTCTGCAGTGGTTCCTTATCCTTCTGTTCGTCCTCTTCCTTCCGTCTATCCTGAATACATCTGTTTTTCAGAATAAGAGAAAAACCAAATAGAGCTAGATTATCAAAAGCTGTACAGTATTTCTTTGCAAATTCTGAACTTCTCTGCTCACAAAATGCTCTTTGGGGTTATTATTACTTGTCTATCTGATTGATAGTGGAAAGGGTTGCTTAAAAGTTGGATTCTGAGAAGCATGGTTATATTGCATGTCAAAGGTCAGTGGATAATGCCAGTTGAGTCCAACCTGCAGGCTTCTTTCCCCTGATTTAACATTCAAATACAAACTCAGTTTCACCTGAACAGATGCTCATTCTTTTGAATCTTTTGTAGGATTCTCTGCTTTTGGACTAAACCACTCACCCACATTTCCAAACTAGTAGAAACAAAACTGTCAAACTGACATTCTTCTAGCCAAGTAGTATTCTGAACAATTCCTACATGAATACCTCAGTGAAATCAGTATCCCATGAACTTGTGCATCCCATGACAGAATACACAGAAAAAGATTGGAGCAGCATCCTCTCCAAAGACAGTTCACTGATAATATTTGAGCTTTAAATTCAGATACTGGTTTGCTGAATCAGCTCATGTAAATGAAGACATGTTTTCAGTTCTCTGTTTCTCCATTTCTGTTGGAGAACTGTCAAAATCTATAGAAAGCATATTTTTGCACATTAAATATTAAATGAATATGAAGATCTAAACATCTCGTAGTAGTGTTAACTAAACAGCTGAGAATTGCCTTTTGCTCTCCTGATGATCACAGCAATTTCTGTTGCACTTGGTTAAGTAGAATCCAGGGTGGTAATGTGTGAGGACAGTCATGGTATCCCCCGCCTTTATTTTTACAACCTTTATCAATTCTGCCCTAAAAGATTTCATACAAAAGATCATTTTTAAGCATTTCAAAGTGAGGCTATTGCAAACACTCAACTTTTTCACTGCAACTGCTGAAAACATTTTACTCCATTAGCATCCAGCAGTGAAATGAGACCTTTTTGTACAGAGAAATTTATTATCATTTAGGCTGCAATGCTTGAAGGGGTAGTGGAAGCAGATTCAACAGTGATTTTCAAGAGGGAATTGAATGCTTGCTTGAACAGCAGAAAATTGCAGGACTAGAGAAAGACTGGAGTGGAGTGGGACTAAATGGATAATGCTTTCGAAGAGCTAGCATTAGAAATATGGGATGAATAGCCTCCTTCCATGTTAGGTAATTCCATGATTCTGTCACAACTGTACATACTCTCTGTCCCTGCAGCTAAGCTGTCAAACAGCTGAATTCAATTTATGGTGTAAAGAAAGATTGAAAAATCACAGGGGGAACAAGAATTTAATTTAGTGATGGAATGAGAAAGCAAATAATATTCAGTTAAGAACAGCCTGTCAACAACTGAGGCAAGATACAAAACATGCAGCTTTGAAAACTACACTGACATCATGCTTAATCCAACACATTTTACAAGACTAGCTCCATTCAGAAACCTGACTGTTCGAGAGGGGCAGTAGGTTGTTTTTACTGGCCATTTGTTCCACTATTTTTCCATTATATTTAAGGCAATCATTGCCTTCCTTCTTGTCTGGCAGATTACTTAAAAGACTCATTCTTTTCATCTCCTTCTCTATCATTATGTATAATCATCTCATTCTTGCGTCTTAGGAAGTTAGGGAGAGGGTAAGGTCTAAGCACAAAAAAAACTATTATGATGACAAACTATTACAGTGTTCTCCCATTATCAATTCCTGATAGAAGCTCTGTGAGGGTGATGCTGCTTCAGACATCTGAGCACTGCACTGAAAGCAGCTACGCTGACAGTAGTAATACGAGGAGTGGTATCAGAATGTTGAGTTGGGAAAGTTAAAAGGAATGGAGTGGACTGTTTAGAAAAGGCAATCTGAAAAACAGAATTTATCTTTTTCATTCCTTTCCTCGATTCCCTCCTTTTATGCTACTGTTTTAAAGGCAAATCATTTGGCTAAAAAGATTATATTGACTTTAATGGCAGTATGGCATATTTCCTTTCATTGTCTGTTTTTGCTGTCTTCTATAAAGAGTTAAAAATAGCCAAAAATCTGAAAGGGCTGATGCTATTGCGGATCTTCTCATAAACCGACTTTAGCTATTCTTTATAAAATTTGATTTATATTGCAATTTTGCTTGTCCTGTCAATCACCTTGAATCAGGGTGACAATTTCAATCAGCTGGATGTTATGAGAGCCATAAAGTCTCTAATTTAAATTACAGTCCATAATCCAGGTTAAAGTACTATCGACCAGCATGCCTGTGGTTATTCTGGTTACCAGTAAGTTGACCCTTCAGAACAAATTGCATTATGATGACTCTTCAAATTAGCTGAGATGTTTTTGCCAAGTTTACTACAACAGCTGTAGATCCTGAGCCAGTTGTTGGACACAATGCAAATGCTACAGGAAATAGTCACTGAGGCATTTCCTCCCTTCTCTTTGGTTTCTTCCATTAGTCAACACACACCGAACTAATTAGATGCAGGTAAAATTGCAAATGGATAGTCTTACAAATTTATTGAAGGCACTGTGAGGCGAATCCACAAATGACAGGAATGGAAGTCAGACCCATGACTGAATTGCAAATTTTACATTAATACTCTCTGGAGAACTAAATTAAAGGAATACTTTAATTCCAAGGAAATGAATCACTGTGAACCCAAGAACTCCAAATTATTATTTGTCACAAATTCCTTAATCTTTAAAGAAGAACAATTAGCAACAGGAAAGCAATTCTACAACACAGCAAAGTCGAAATAGTAATACCAAACTGGATGTGTAGGTGGATCCTCACAACAGGATAACACATGATAGGTACTATTCACCATGTTTAGGTCTATTACCAGGTAATGCAGTTAAACAAGCCCAGAGGAAATGAAGCTTAATGCAGAGGGAAATAAAACCTGCTTAGTCTGTAATATGTACTATGTATGAGATGCATCCTTACACTACATAATGCTATTTGAGTTCTCACAGATTGTGGACCATCACTAATGCAATGCTCTGGCAATGGGACTGGTATTTGGATTGACAGTTCACAAAGAGGGCTTGAAATAGGAAGAGAAAGTGTTGGAAAAACTCAGCAGGTCTGGCAGCATCTGTGGAGAGAGAAATAAAGTTAACATTTTGAGTCTGACATGACTCTTCCTTGCAAAGGGGATTGGAACATTGTAGTTTTATGCTGTTGACAAAGGTGGAAGAGAAATGAATAGAACAGATGGTGAGGGTGCCCAGCGCAAAACACAAAGGGAGTGCTAATGAAAGTAGAAGGAGAGAGATATAGATGCAAAATAGTGCTGATGGTAGATGACAGTACCTGAAAATGGGTCAACTTTTCTGAGAGCAAACCCATGTAAACAAATCAGTGAAAGTGGGGAATGTAGTCAAAATGGATGACATGTTCATGCTCTGAAATTGCTGAATTCAACATTGAGTCCTGAAGGTTGTTGAGTGCCTAAGCAGAAAATGACATGCTTTCCCTTCAGCTTGTGTTGGGCTTCACTGGAACACTACAGCAGGCCTAAGACAGCAATATTTGCACAACAGCAATATGGTTTATTCAAATGACAAGCAACTAGAAGGATTGGGTCATTCTGACAGACAGAGCAGAGGTCTTCCCCAAAGCAGTGACCGAGTGTGTGTTTGGTTATGTAAACGTAGAAGAGAATGCGTTGTGAATACAGTAACCAAGATTGAAAGAAGTACTTGTAAATCACTGCATCACCTCGAAGGTGTGTTTGGGCCCTTGGATTGTGAGGAGCAAAGATGTAAAAGGGCAAATGTTACACCTTCTGTGATTGCATGGGAAGGTTTCATGGGATGGGGGGCAGTGTGTTGGTGAGATGGTGTTACGAGTGAACCAGAGCATTACGGAGGGAATGGTTCCTGCAGAATGCTGACAAAGGAAAGGAAGGAGAAAGTGTGTTTGGTATCCTGCGAGAAGTGGTGAAAATGGCAGAGGATGATCCTTTGAGTACAGAGGCTAGTGAGGTGGAAAGTGAGGACGAGAGGAATTCTATTGTTGTTCTGGGAGGCAAGAAAAGGTTCAAGGGCAGAGGTGCATGAAATGGGTCAGCCATGGCTGAGAGTTCTGTTGGGGGTAGGGAAGGGAGAGGGCAGGGTTAGTCTTTGGAAGTGTGTACGGGGTAGAGAGGTGCGGTCAGTTTTCTGCTGAGAAAATAGGAGGACATAAGAGACCCAGCTATGGAAGGTGCCATCATTGGAACAGATGTAACAGAAACAGAGGAACTGAGAGATTGGAATGGAGTCTTTGCAGGAAGCAGGCTGTAAGAAAGTGTAGTCAAGTATCTGCGGGAGTTGGAAGATTTGAAATGGATACTGGAGGACAGTTATCCCCAAAAATGGAAAAAGAGAATTAAGGTAAAGGAAGAGGTGACGATGAGCCAGGAGATGGTGGGAGAAGGATGAAAATTGGAAGGAATTTTGATTAATTTTTCAAATCCAAACAATTAAGAGGAAACAGCGCCGACTACGTTTTTGAGGTATTGGAGAATGAATAGTAGGAGGTGACCCGATTAAGACCAGAACAAGGGATGTTCCACATCACCCACAAAGAAATAGGCACAACTAGGATCCATTTAGGTATCTACAGGCAGACCCTGGACTCAGAGAAAGGGGCATTAGTCAAAGGAAAACTAGTTCAAACTGAGAATGAGCTCAGCCAGGTAAAGAGAGGGGTCGTTCAAACCTTCATTCATGGAAGAAGTGGAGGGCCTTCATACCAACCTGATGAAGGATGGACTTGCAGAGCGGTTGCATATCCATGGTAAAGAGGGCCTGTGCCCGGGCTCAGGAAAGTGGAAATTGTGGAACCGACATAAATCGTCAGGAGAACCATGAATGAAAGTGGAAAGAGACAGGGTGAGGGGAAAGAAAATAGTGTCAAAGTAGGAGAAATAAGTTTGTTAGGGCAAGAACAGGCTGAAATGATGGTCTGCCAGGTGAGGCCTGTTTGTGGATTTTGGGAAGAAATTAGAAGCCAGCTGTGCTGGATGAGAGACTGAGTTGAGAAGCTGTGGAGGTGAGATCTCCAGAGGTCAATGACAGTCTCGAAACAACTGCTTGTTGTTCATCATCACTGGTGAGGAAAAAGGAAGAAGTGCTCTTGAGCTAGTGCTCAACCTCTACACGGTAAAGGTCAAAAAGCCAGATGACAACAGCATTACTCTTGTCAGCTGATTTGACAACAAAGTCTTGGTTAGATAATAATATACAATAATTATTGACAATTATCTGACAACTACCTTTCAGCAACTTCAGATCTTTTCCTTCTTTCAAAATCTTCAACATTTTGCTTCTTTCCATCTCCATCTTCCCGCTTTTGGAAAAGAAACAGAATTTTGACTGTAACCCGATACTTTGTTTAAGTTCTTACAATAAACACATACCTTTTCACACATTGATCTTTTGATAATTTCAGAACAAGATGTTTAGCTGATAATCCAAAAAACTATTACTAACCTAACACAGTAATGACAGTAACATAGGAACAGGAGGGGACGATTCACATTGTTGAGGCTATTCGGCCATTCAGTAAGATCTTGGCTGATCTGTACTCTGCCCAGCTTGACCCTATATTCTTTAATACTGTTGGCTAGCAAAAATCTACCAACCTTAGATTTAAATTATTCAGTGAATCAGCAGCTATTGCTTTTTGTGTGAGAGCATTTCTTACTTCTGCTACTATTTAGGAGAACTAGTATTTCCTAACTTCTCTCTCGAAAGGTCTGACTCAAAATGTTCCCTTGTCTGACTTCTTATACAGCAAGAAAAGTTCCTCAGTACCTATCCCATAAGTATTCTAAAAACCTCATACATATCAATAATTAACTTTCTGTATTCCAGTGAATACAGCCTAGTTTATGTAGTTTCTCTTCATAAACTACTGTATTTGTGAAACCCCACTTACATTTTGGTATATTTTTCACTCTCTCTGATGCATCCTAAGATATGCTGCCTGGAACTGTATACAGTACTTCAGTTGTTATCTAACCAGGGTTTTGTATAGGTGTGATCTATCACTTTATATTCAGGCCCTCTCAATGTCAAAGCTGACATTCCATTAGCCCAACAAAAACAGAAATTGCTGGAAAGCTCAGCAGAACTGGCAACATCTGTGAAAAGAAATCAGATTTAACATTTCGGGTCCCATGACCAGTTCTGAGGAAGGATGCCGCCAGACCTGCTGAGCTTTTCCACCAGGTTCTGATTTTGTTTCTGATTTACGGGATCTGCAGTTCTTTTGGTTTTTATTTTATTAGCCATCCGGGTGGTTTTTTTCTGCACGAGCAATACGTTTTACTATATACTTATGTAAATCTTAAATGTTTTTTACTCTCTACCGGTCCTAGCTTTAAATTATTTTGAAAATAATCAGATCTATCCTTTCTTCAAACTTGAGTATCGCTGAAAAAGACACATTGTCAAATGTTAGTTTTTTTCTTAGTATTCACTTGTGGCATGCGGGCACCACTCTGGCCAGCATTCACTGCCTGTTCCTAGTTGCCCTTGAGAAGGTGGTTATAAGCTGCTTTCTTGAATTGCTGCAGTCTGATAGATTTAGGTAGACTCACAATGCAGTTAAGGAGGGAATTCCAGGATTTTGACCCAATGACAGTGAAGGAAGTTGGTATATACAGATTGACAGAGAACAATATTTTCAATTGCTTTTGTTTGTCAAAAGTAAAAGGAACTGTTTGTGCTTTTCTTCCCAACTTATTAAAAATTCTAGGAGCCCCAGATAGCAGAAAGCAAAAAATTGAAAATGCTCAGATCACCATTTAATAATATGAAAACTAACTTCCCAAGACAGAGCAGAAACCTCTTGACATTCAGAGTACCATGTCAACTCCAGAACGTGGTAGCACCTCAAAACATGTTCCAAACTCTATTCATTCTGTTACGACAAAATTTAAAACAACTATCAGGAGGTTTTGAAATAACAAGGTGTAGAGCTGGATGAACACAGCAGGCCAAGCAGCATCAGAGGAGCAGGAAAGCTGATGTTTCGGGCATAGACCTTCTAGGCCCGAAACGTCAGCTTTCCTGCTCCTCTGATG